AATTGCAAAAGAAGTACCCAGAAATGTCCAAGGAAGCCATTCTTTGCTTTATTCGGACAAGGACCTTCATCAGGATGAAGAATTTAAATAGGGAGAATGCTGCAAGAACCGCAAGAAAGCGAGAGCAGTGGCATGCTAAAAAAATGAAGATATTCCTAGCATAGCGTCAAGAGGATGACGCCACCGCGTCCAATCCATCGAGAAAGTCCTTCGGGAAATGACGTCACAACGGTGTGATGACTAAGCCCCGCCCCCCTCTTTAAAGAGGATGTCTGTCGAGCAGGGCCTGCCCAGAGTGCGATTGTGGTCACGAATAACAGACTATGCAGCACATCATCCATCAGTGCCCCCTACGGAATACCCTGGAAATGTCACAGACATTCATAGTGTTCTTCGGAAGCCTTTAACTGGCTCACCGACATTGACATTGACTTTTAAAGATCTTGCAAGCCACTCGTGCCATACGATATAAGAAATATCTGGACGTCAGAGAACTTCAAGGTGCCTCAAAAAAAAGTTAACGCAGCAAAGAACTGACTTCTCTTGTACCATATTATATTTGAATGAAAATTATGTGTCAGTTAAAATGAGAAGAGATTGTGCTTTCGATCGATGAAGACCGCAAGATCAATGAACTCAAAGGCGAGTTACGGAAAGACAAACTTTACATTAGTAAAATTCAGACATGCTGGTGAACTGCTGCAAGCAGCCTATGCATGAGAATCCAGCAATGCAAGCGCTCGAAGAAGCTAGCGATCCACAATTGTACGGTACAGCCAGAAGACTCTTCACACTATCGCAGGTTCTTGGGCATTTGTCAGCAAAAATGCCGCAGACTTCATTGAATGAAAGACTCTTCTTGGTGATCCATCTCTCAATCTCACCTTGCACACCTTGAACTCATACTGAGCACGCCTTGAACGTGTCCTTTTGTGATGACGTGTAAACATCTTTTTGTCTAATATTCACTGTACAATATCTCGCTTCGGATATGGAAGATTTTCATGTGATCTTCAGCGGAAGGAAGCTCAATCTCTAACAATTGGCGCCAATTATTGGGTCTCTAACTGACACAAAATTCAAATTTAATGTAATTCCAGTAAAATCCTTTATTTCAGTGCTAAATTTTTTTTAGACACCCTGTACTATGAACGAAACAACGATTGCTCTTGCCGATACTGTTATTCATGAAGATATTGGTAACACTCTCAGACCTTTGCCTCTTGAGTTGGCTTCAGTTACAGAAGTGCCAGAACCCTTGTTCATGAGGATTTGAAGAAGACCAAGAGATTTGCAATGTGTCTCTCATCTCTTGATTGCCCTAGCAATTTCCATGCCCTGTGCAAAGCGACTCCTAGCGCCCCCCTCCCCTCAGAAGGGAGAAGAGTCAACACCTAGCGTCCAAAAAGACGCCGAAACGGAAGGCATTTCCACTTTCTGAAGTAAAACTGAGGGTGGCATCCATTATCGTTTCATCCATTCTGGCACGTTTTGGCGCCCCTGGTGAATTTGCGCCCTGTGCGAGAGAACATATGGCACATGCCTAAGGCAGGCCCTGATTTTAACCCCTTGAACACAGATGACGCACCCGTATGCGTTAAGGAGGAATCATGCAACTGATACACCTGACGCTCACTGGTTGCTCACGGGGGAAAAGTATCAAGGGAAAGTAAAGTCAGAGGTATTAACCTTTATCGTATGGAGTTTTTAAATACTTCGGTCCCTCACGGCCGGAAATTAATTCCGCCCTTTTAAAGCCCAAGGGTTTGACAGCCATATCAGTTGCTTGGGTTAGAAGCCGACCCAAGGACCAGGAGAGCTCGTTGATGTGACTCGTGTATAGCGTTAGATATATCTAGCATTCATCCAATTGAGGTTAATTGAAGCGTCAGATATAACTGACATTCGTAAGTAGAGAACTTTAGCGGGAACAAAATATTACTTTAATACAAAATTCTGGCGTATGATAGCAGGAAATATTCAAATACCTGGTGTTTTCAAGGGGTTAACATGTCTCGTGAAAATGCTCACTGTAAGAGCAGAGATAAATAATTGGCGCAAAACCCATAGGGGGTCTTTCTGGTGCACTCTGTGAATGATTTTGCCCGTTATTACTATACTCTCGGTATTTCCAAGCTTAGATCTCCTTTTTCGCCGGAAACCCTTCATATAAGATAACGAAGTCGGTGATACTCTGAATGGATCGTCTGAGTTTCTATTGTAGATGCTTGGAGACCTGGACTTCGATGATGGAAAGGATAAAGCTGCGGAATTCTACAGTTTCCTAAGCAAGACCGGGACAAAAGTTCTCGTCTCGGGTGCAAGTAGTGAGGACCAGAAGAAAGCCTTCGACATCGTTGACAAAAATTCGAAGAAGATCGCCTTCATCTCGTACGTGATTCCCGATGTCTTCGAGGTAAGCCATTACTAGATGAACATGCGTAGATAAGAAGAATGAGGCAGAAGGCCATCTTTGGAGCATTCATTCTCCTCAGAACGACTTCCAAAACGAAACCTTTGCATTCGAGAACTATAAGGAGGTCATCAAGAACGCCCTGGCTGACAATACTGTGAAAGGTGCCAACGCAGTCATCGCACTAGGTAAGTCAGTGTAACTTCCTCATTTCCTAGTTCCCCCGCCCCCCNGGACGCAGTGTCCGGGCCAAACGCGGTATTGATGTCAGCGATGGAATTGGCTGCCTTCTTCTTGATTCGGAAGTCATAAAGAAGAAGCAGGCGAACTTGCTCCTTAGTAAGAGGGTAGGGCTGGTTCATGGCTGGAGAGCACCAGGGCTGTAATAATATACGGTTGTATGCCGAAGGACACGACCTACTTATAAACACATGCAGAACATTCTAGCATGCTCTGGAAAAAAAATTGTATTGGATATTCAAGAAATTCCGAGAACTTTCTTTCCAATCAGATAACTGACATTCGTAAGTAGAGAACTTTAGCGGGAACAAAATATTATTTTAATACAAAATTCTGGCGTATGATAGCAGGAAATATTCAAATACCTGGTGTTTTCAAGGGGTTAACATGTTTCGTGAAAATGCTCACTGTAAGAGCAGAGATAAATAGGGGGTCTTTCTGGTGCACTCTGTGAATGATTTTGCCCGTTATTACTATACTCTCGGTATTTCCAAGCTTAGATCTCCTTTTTCGCCGGAAACCCTTCATATAAGATGACGAAGTCGATGATACTCTGAATGGATCGTCTGAGTTTCTATTGTAGATGCTTGGAGACCTGGACTTCGATGATGGAAAGGATAAAGCTGTGGAATTCTACAATTTCCTAAACGAGAACGGGACAAAAGTTCTCGTCTCGGGTGCAAGTAGTGAGGACTACAAGAAACCCTTCGACATCGTTGACAAAAATTCGAAGAAGATCGCCTTCATCTCGTACGTGATTCCCGATGCCTTCGAGGTAAGCTATTACTAGATGAACATGCGTAGATAAGAAGAATGCGGCAGAAGGCCATCTTTGGAGCATTCCTTCTCCTCAGAACGACTTCCAAAACGAAACCTTTGCATTCGAGAACTATAAGGAGGTCATCAAGAACGCCCTGGCTGACAATACTGTGAAAGGTGCCAACGCAGTCATCGCACTAGGTAAGTCAGTGGATCAACTTCCTCATTTCCTAGTTCCCCCCCCCCCCCCTCCCCTCGGAGAGAGAGACAGGAGACTGTTTTCTCGTGAGTACCCATCACATGCATTAATTCCCATGGCGTTCTCTGAGTCTAGCGTTTTCAACATTCATTGCAACGATCACATAGCAACGATAGGCCTGTATCGCATCGTAAAGGTGAAAAAAAAAGTCGTACCTGGGTAGTCGAGAGAATGGGGGAAATTTTTAAAAGATAAACTTCTCATCTGTCTGGTGCCCTTCAGACACCGACGAAAATTATCTCATATTATAATTATGTGAAAAACAAATAATTTTATGTTTACACTCGCAGGACGTTCTACACCTATTGCGATGAAAACTCCCACATGATCCTATTCAAGGGAAATTTATCCGCGAAGAAATATTTGGGTTACATAGATGTATATTTTTGCAACTTCTTTTTATCTAACTACATTTATTACGAGCCTGTTATGACTGAAACCGCACGAAGAGAAAAAGAGCCGGATATGAATGAACTTAAACGCGAATCGCCACTTAAGGCAGACTTGTGTATGTTTCTCGTCAGTCTGGGACAAGAAGGACCTAATGTGATGCGCAGCACAGACTGCCTTCGGTCTGGCATATTTCAACTCCTTTCCCCATTCAGTAGTGTCCTCATTTACATGTATTACTTGAATTACTATCTACATCTATGATTATCAACATCCGGATACCACAAGTTTGGCCGAATGACTGTTGTCGTTTCTTCCGTGAGGCTCCAGCTGAGAAACAACAATTGCGTTATATAAAAGAAAAGAAGAGACAAAGAAATAATAAAAAACGGAATTTCACATCCTGAATTTCGACCACGCGGATATCTGAAAAGTAATGACCGAGTTGGTATTCACAGCTTTCATGGTCAACTGAACCGTGTACGTTGAGCACCGAAAGCTCTAAAGGATATTAACATTTTTTAGAATTGATAGGAGGCAGACAGAAATGCGTACAATGTACGCCCTATTTCCTTCACTTCCGCATGCGAAAAAACATGCCGTGTAAGGGTGCTTTCGCTCAGTGGGACACCGCTTCAGACCGTGCTTTCTTAAATATAGTATTACGCAGTGCCGAAGAAATTGCAAGGTGCACATAATTCATTTTTCAGTTCTTTCTCCTGAGACGAGATAGAATCGCCACTTGGTTCACACTCCCTCCCCCCCACCCCCACCCTATATGTCCCACTCGAAACTGTGTCCTAAAGTCTGAGGTATATGAATGTTAGATATCTCAGCCGGAGCACCCGCTAGAAGCCAAAAGGCTACTTGATGTTGAAACTGAAATGTGGAAACTTTTTTAATGTTGGAAAACATTAAAACATGTTCAAACTGTTCACCATTCCTTTGGATAATCGCTTTGTAACATACAGCAGTGTTTTCAATAACATTGTCCAGTGTCTTGTGTGTTATGTCTTGGTTATAAAAAAAAAAACTTATTGAGTTCGTCTATCATATGACATGTAACTTAATTTTCTACCTTAGTAAATAATGAAAATATAGGTCAATGAAAGGTATTTTTTGTTGCCACCCTGTACTTCAACGAAAATTGCTTCATGATGAATTTTTTTCTGAATGTCAAGAAAGTTACCTCTCATTTCATTTTTGGCATTTCCCTGTCGATCATTTTCATTAAATCGTCGACAAGTCACTACATCCACAATCGACACGTTATAGATCTGCTTATTACCGTCGTGTTTTGCGTACTGCCATGCTTGATGAAGCTGTTTTTCTGAGTGGTTCTTGCATTTCTCATATATGCTGTAGCATCCGGAGGATCGATGAGGCACCACATAGAAATCCTGAAAGAAAATCCTCGTATCAATGTCATCCTCCTTTCTTACGGTAGAAGACATTCCACTCTCCCCGTTACCATTTCGATCGGAGCATGTCATGTCTCTTCAAATTCATTGATTCGTTTTTCACACAGGGGTTCTGGAGTGGTGGCACGGTGGACAGGTGATACATATGGAGAGAGGGCGAATGATTGTGAGCTCGGTACCCAAGGCCAGATACTTCCAGTCAGTGAATCTCGTCTTCGACACTAACGGGAATTTTGCAAGCGCAACCGTGAATTTCACTCCACTCAATGAAGCAAAAGGTGAATTAGGAGTCCCGTCCTATGACTATCTTCATGGGAAACGATTCCTCGGAAAAAAAAATATTTTTTCGGAAATTTCCAATTAGGTTTCGTAAAAATCTCCAACTAAGAGCATGTAAGCCTGCAATTCCCCTAATGCTTTGAAGAAAAAAACAGGCTTGCATTTCCGCGGAAATCCCACTCCATGTCGTTCACTGAATTTTTTCCGTCTTCCTCCTGAAATACTGCATTATGGCCGAGGATCCTACCTACTAAGTCCGAATGTGAGGCGGAAATTTTTTTTTTTAATTCGCGTCGGCAAGGCCTGTCTCGAATATTCTCGGTTGATTTTCGTAGACGTGTTGTAAATCGCATTTCCGAGGAGTTCATTGTTTTAACACTTAGTGCAGGTGAGCAACAAGATGAAGACGCGCAACAACATCGTCCACAAGCTAGCTGGGACCAGCTGGGGCTGCAACGCGCGAACTCTCCGGAATATGCGGCCTTATTGAGAAACAACCTGAATTTATTTAGGTTAGTATCAGTGTTTTGGGGCGCTTAGTATTTAGGTCCACCTTAGCCGAAGAATGAAATCTATAGGGTCCTAGCCGTTTTACTTAGTGAGTCAGTAAGATGTGATTTTATTTAAGTCGATATTATATTTACATCCAATCGGAAGGGTTAAGGACAGATGCCCCGAAGATCATAAGGCGTTTGCGGATCCAGCTGGGCGGAAGGGCCTTATCAGGTGTCCGCGTGCGAAAGTAGAAATACACATGTTCATGGGTCTGGATTACAAAAAAAACACCGTGCAACTATATACACGATTGGCAAACATTATGTAAACATCGTTACAATATTACAGCTGGGATCCGTTACTCTGGGGGGCATGGTTCAGGATTCACCTGCAACAAATGAAAAAAAGAACTCACATCGGTGACAAATATAATGCCTGTTTCAGATTAAAACTATCTTTAATACAGTCGGAGATATGACCTGTTGTTATTCACCAAGTGGCTTTGTGTACTGCCTGTATACGCTGTATATATACATGGACAGGTATGATGTGGCATATATGGGCAGTATAGGGTACTGTTTAAGTCAGGGTGTGCAACCCTCTTCGGCAGTGGGCCGCATGGAAATGTCTGAGCTTCACGCGGGCATAGAATGCAAAAGCATGCCTTTTTGCTCTCAGGGCATGTGAAGGGACAAAGTCGCGCTGATTGGCCGATGATCCTTATCTTTACCCCTAGGAAATTCCCTAAGGAAATTCCAACGCCCGAAAATGGCCTTTGGCATCGAGAACCTCCTTCCTCGGGACATTTGTAGCACCGCCAGCATGAGGAATAATTAGGGGAAGGAAGTAAAAGGTCTCAGTCTATTTCTGGTTACTAAGGGAGGACCAAAGTTGTGGTAGGCCTTGGGTCCGCAACGTAACTTATATCATCTCTCATACCATTATGCATTACCGGGCCGCAAGAAGTAGGTCCAAGGGCCACATGCGGCCCGCGGGCTGCACATCCCTAGTTTAGGCCAACATATGAGCTTGCGTGCGTTCCGATATTGCGCGGTAAGTATGACTTCTGCCAAATCCCATATATAGCCATATATTTTAACGCACATGTATGACAGTTTCTTATTGGATCACATACTAAATTTTCATGTAGGTTTCCACATTCAAGTTCATTCGAGCAATATTCTCAGAAGTACGTAACTTCTGTAACGTTCTTAATCGAGCAAGTTTTTTATTATTATTATAATACTGGCATTTTTCCTCTCGACCTAGAAAAAAAAGGCTTTGAATAGCTCAATAAATACAGCATCACCGGAAAGGGGAAGGAATCAGCGTTCAAAATTTGTAGGAATCATCATCGTGACTTCACCTTACATAGACAACTGTATTTTCAAAATTGACCTAAAATAGCTAAACTGCCAACTTTTGTTGAATTCTTTTTACTGCTCAGATAGAAATTAAAAGCACTTCAATCAAAATCATATCTTCTAGATCTAAATAAGGACAACAGATTCCATCTCTTCGCATCTCGTAAAAGGAAGAGTGCTGTAGTTATTGAAGGAGACCCATTAGCGTGCCAATGAATACTCTTGGGAATACTCATGAGTTCAGCGGTGTAGGGAAGGGGGTTTAGGGGGTAAGAACCCCCCCTTTTAGGCTTACCGGTCAGTGACACTACTTCTTTCGTATGGATGATGGAGCAGCTTTTTAAATTTTTATTTACGGGTGTATTTTGAGGTTTTTAAACCACTCAATAGTTTCATGAGAGGCGGAGTGGACTCCTGTGGTTCCACCACTGAAGGCGAAGATGCAGCAGTCGTTGTCGATGTGATCGACGGTTTGCTGGTCGTGACCGCAGTCGCATCTCGCACTGTCTCTGATGCGCCATTCGTGCATCAGGTGTCCGCATCGTCCGTAGGGTTCTGATGCGGTTGATGACAGTCCACTGGCGGCGAGGAAGGTCGAAACCCGGAGGTTCGGTGGTGGCATCCAGGATGAGGCTTTTGTTTTTTACTCTCGCAGAGGCCCATTCTTGTTTCCACCTCTCTCCCTCATTGATGTTGGCTGCGTAAAGAGCGGCCGCTTCGGTCCAGAACGGCTGTCGCGAGGAGAGGCGGTTCGGAGGTACAGGGTCCAGGTCTCTCCAGATCGGAAGGTCTTGGTGATGTATGACTTTATTGTATTCCTGCAGTGTAGCTGTTTGGCGTCGTACTTGCGGCGGAGGGATGTGTGCAAGCACCGGGAGCCAGCACGACTTCAAAGCACTGGTAACTAATTGTACGCATGGCTATGTTGAGCTGCGTGTCGACGTGACTGATGTGGACGCTGCGTCCCCATACTGGACTGCAGTATTCCCCCGTTAAGTACACGAGGGCGAGTGACGCTGTCCGGAGAGTTCGCGCGTTGCAGCCCCAGCTGGTCCCAGCTAGCTTGTGGACGATGTTGTTGCGCGTCTTCATCTTGTTGCTCACCTGCACTAAGTGTTAAAACAATGAACTCCTCGGAAATGCGATTTACAACACGTCTACGAAAATCAACCGAGAATATTCGAGACAGGCCTTGCCGACGCGGACTAAAAAAAAATATTCCGCCTCACATTCGGACTTAGGATCCTCGGCCATAATGCAGTATTTCAGGAGGAAGACGGAAAAAATTCAGTGAACGACATGGAGTGGGATTTCCGCGGAAATGCAAGCCTTTTTTTTCTTCAAAGCATTAGGGGAAATGCAGGCTTACGTGCTCTTAGTTGGAGATTTTTACGAAACCTAATTGGAAATTTCCGAAAAAATATTTTTTCCGAGGAATCGTTTCTCATGAAGACAGTCATAGGACGGGACTCCTAATTCACCTTTTGTTTCATTGAGTGGAGTGAAATTCACGGTTGCGCTTGCAAAATTCCCGGAAGGGTCGAAGACGAGATTCACTGACTGGAAGTATCTGGCCTTGGGTACCGAGCTCACAATCATTCGCTCGCTCTCCATATGTATCACCTGTCCACCGTGCCACCACTCCAGAACCCCTGTGTGTCTTGATGTGTAATAAGCTTTCTTGGCTGTGACATTCCTTTGCATTGCGACGGGCCGGATTTCCCTGATTGGTCTGGTAAGGAAACTCGGTTGTGTTGTTGAAATCAGTGGCTCGCATTAGAGTTTGGCTGTGGTCCCCTATCCGCGCTCCTGAGTTTCGTTGGGGTTCACCCCGATCCTAGAGCCTCCCGTACAGCTACAGTTATCCCCGGTGTCGGCATCCGGTCTGCGGACTGGAGGGCGGGATACTGGCGAGATCCTCGCCAGTACCCCAACGTGCCGGATTCAGTACTCCGGAAGGGTGGTCTGACGAGACAGGCCGCCAAGACCGTCACAATGACTGAAAGTGAATCACTGATGGCAACCAAACGCGAAATTCAACTAATGCATAGACGACCGTCACCAGGTGTAAATGCCAAAAGGGACTTACTCAAGAAATCCAAGACAACCGAGTCATTTACACTTTATGTTCGTCCATACGCACATTGGAATGCAGATTTTGTTGCCGCCAGATTCCTATTCGGCCATCAATAAAACCACTTGGATCCGTTCCTTTAGGGTTCATGGTTCTGCATGCACTTGCAACAAATAGAAGCAAAATTTACATCTGAGCTAAATGTAACCCATGTTACAGATTTTAAATGTTCGTCTTACTATGGAGACGTGACCCGTTGAAATGAGAAAGTGGCAATGTGAACATTCCGTATTGTCATGCATGGGGTCCTGAACAACATTAAGGTTTGCGAGGACCATTTTCTGGACTTCCTGTTGACTCACTCTCCTAAAGCTCAACCTTGTGCATGATAGATGGGAATCAAGTAACTACTTCATTACATCTGAGGATGGTAGAACGTATGGCAGTGGTTCCCAAATTTCCTTTTACTCACATTGAACATTCAAGTATTCAGGCTGTTGCGACCTTCCGTTTCGGAACCGCTGGCTTATGGTTACGTCGCTCTACCCGAGGCGATGTGATCATAATCTGCAGGAATCAGCCTCGCATAGGAATACCATTAAAGAAAAGAAAAACAGACTCCAGGTGATCCTTCAGACCATGCAATTTCTCAGGGGAGTGATAATTTTAACACCATTGATGTTCATCCGTGTACCGTTAATTCCTATATTTTCGATTTTTAATTGATGCCGATAGAATGCCATATTTACACCGTTTTGATTCCGAAGTCGATGGTGGTGTGGTAATACTCGGTGCCTGAACTATATTATATTTTTCATTGATTTCGTGCAGACGAAGCCACGGGCGAGTATCTGCTAGGGCTGAGGAACGAGTTCAAGTACAAATTTGATAATGAGACGTATGATGAGATCGAGGTGAGTTGGGCTATCCCGGCCGATGGCTGTCATCATGGGGAATGTGCCATCGGGGATCTCGTGGCCGATGCCATTCAATCCTGTCCCAAAAGCCCTGACCACATTCTTCACGCCATCATCCCATCCATCATCATCGCCCGGGGTCTCCCTCAAGGAAAAGGTTCAGGCATTGCACAATCTATCCTATTCTCAACTAATATTATCATTTCATAATCTTAATTGAATGCTTAAAAGTGTTGTCCAAGGTTTTCCTCTCCGGATACTTTGAAAAGAATGATTAATTATTTCATTTGAAAAGTTAACTCTTGCAAATAAAACCTTCCCTGGACTGAGTTATTTAGCAGTGGACTTTCGCGAAAGAATCATTGTTGCATAATTGCATTATATACAGCGGTACTGTACGTAGCTGCTTCGTTGCAGTTCGAATGAGCGAGGACGTGATGAATACAGCGCCACGGGATCTTTCCCTGGTCCAAGTCAACATGACAGGGAGAGACTTGAAATACCTCTTCGAGAGAGCAGCTGACATCATGGTCACCAAACAATTCGACAAGGGATGTTCTCCCCTTCAAATAGCAGGTTAGAAATTCCCGAAATTCCATTCCTTTTTGCAGCAGTTAGATACGTGGGAGACGAGGAGCGAGAGAGAACAGAAAGACAGGGAAAAAACTAGCTTCAGTACAGGAATTCAATCATCGCTATCGTAGGTATGTCTAAAGGGTGTTTTTTTGAGGATCGGTCATTGAGCAACTGACCCGAGTCCTGGCGTTGTTTGTTTCTCATCTTTGTACGAATGACGCAACGATTGCGCGAGGGGGAGATCCACCCAATTAACAGGATCTGACCGGGATGACATCATCCTCCCCATCTCTCTCGAAATATCGAGAGCAAAAACCAAGATGGGAGGGGGGGGATGAAAAATGTGCCTATTATCCGAAAATCGAGGCAGGTTCAGGTATATAAAGAGACTGGAATGAGAAGAGTGGAAGTAGACTCTCCAGTGTGAGCCAGTCCTCTCGACCGGAAGTTTTCGTTCTCGTCATCTCCATCTCCATCTCCGTCTCCATCATGCAGGTGAGACTGATCAAATAGAGACTATTCCTGCATTCCTTCATCCAAGGATTGCTTATGAGAAAACTCCGTATCCGTTGGATATGAAACTAGACGTACTAACATTTCATTTTTATTTAAACTTACATTTTATGCGCTTGATTTGATCAATCACGAGGATTCTTATATTTTCATTCTTTCGTTTTCTAGGGATTTTTGGGAGCGCTGGCGTTGAGTCTATTGGGGATGAGCATGGCTCGCCCCGACTCTTATTTCGTGCCGACCTTCAACAGAGACGATAGGGGTTCGGCCGAGACCGTCGGCCACGGCGGCCACGGCGGACGCGGAACTCGCTTCGGACCCGGATCGGGTGAAGACGACGACAACGGCCCGGCCGTCTACGAATTTGCCTACGAGATGCGAGACGATGCCACGTTCAACTATCAGGCCCGACGGGAGGAAAGAGACGGAGACGACGTCAAGGGGCAGTATCAATACGTGGGACCCGACGGATTCCTCTATCTCGTCACCTACGGCGACGACGGTCAGGGCTTCTATGCCGACGTGGATCGCAAACCCCAGAAGATCTTCGACGAAGAGGCGTTCTCTCGCCGAGACGATGACCGCCGAAACGATGACCGCAGCGACGAAAAACCGAGATCGCGTTTTGGATTCTAAAATATCTTCTCATCGAACGAACGGAAGTCTCTTAGTACCTCCTGTGTCGTGGTAAAGTCCTGCACGTCTCGTCCCGTGATTCCTCTGTCTCGCTGGTTCATCACAATTTGTATTTTTCCACAATAAAAGTTTTTAGCTGAAAAAAGTTGTTTAGGCCTAAGTATTGTGCGATCGTCGAGAATTCGTCCATCGAAGCTTGCTTCGCACTATCGAAAATAACATATATGCAGCGTATAAAAAAAAGGGAGACCAACGACTTTTGCTTGCTTATCTCTATTGAAGCTATTTTCACGAATTTGCACTGTGTATAACTTTATGTGTTCCTGACAGACAAACTGGTATTTTGCCAAAGTAAGGCGATGAGCAATTACTTACACGAAATAGGAAATTTAAAATGAAGAGGGAACTCGAATCCCTTGTGATTGGCTTGTTCTCCTGTTTCTTTCTCCGTCGAAGATGGAGGGAAAGGCTCGGGTAGGGACCTTCATCTCAGTCAAATCTAACTAAACTTTGAGCAAACTCCGTTTTGATACGTATCGAACCACTCATCATAATTCTGACCAGCTTTATTCCGATCAATCTGCATTAAATGCCCAACGAAAAAAAAAAAAGAATTCGAATGGAAGAGATAGTTGGATGCGGGGTGGACGTTACGGGGGCAGGTAGAACCATTTTCATAATTCAACTTCTTTTAATTAGCGCTCATAGGCAGTGGCGGCCCGTGATATTTAACGCTAGTGGTTCGTCTATGGGGAAGGGGTTGACAGTGCCCTCCCCCTCCCACCCCCTCCCACCCCCTCTCCACAGACGAACCACTAGCGTTAAATATCACGAGCTGCCACTGCTCATAGCCTTGCCTCAGGGGAATGAATGCCGAATAAATTTTGAAGATGCGTTGAAAACATATCCATCAATGCACAATGAATGTTTAGTGGGAATAGCTAAGTGGGAGCAGAGATATATCAGTTAAAAGTCATCAGTCTCTTTTGATCGTCCCTTTGGACTCAGCGTGCGTCTCCCCTTTCTCCCTTTTCCTACTCTCCCCATCTCCCCTTCTCCCCCCTCTCGTCCCTACTGAGCTTGTGCCCTACTTTTCCTTCGAAGATATCACTATGTTCGAGCATCGGCTGCTTTCAATACAAGGCATCACTCATAACAGCAGTGTAAAAGTTGGAGAATGTTGCAACTCCGATGAACGAGGCTTAGACTAACTGGACCCGATCGGACGAGGGAAACATGAAAATAATGCCTCGTAATAGGATGGGGACATATGCATTAAGCTCACGGTAATGACTACCGCGCTAGAGGTTCATGGTCGTGGCCAAATTTGATGCCCGAAGCGTTGGAACCTACATGAATGTTTTTGCTGCTTTTTCCCCCCTCTGATGCATGCAGGAATGACGATGCGATACAACCCGAATGAGGGGAACGGAAGCCGAGTGGAAAAGATTCGAGCCTTGAGGAAAAATGGTACCACTGTCAATTTCGTGGAAGTCGACCCTAACGATTCCAAGGTACGTGCCTCCTGCTATCAAATCATTAAATCATCAAGTAATGCATACTCTCAAAATATCCCATCTTACTACGATTTTGTGTCGTGAGAGTAAGGGAAGTATGGTAAAAGGGTTCTGAGATATTTATACCCGAATCGTGTTTCGTTCGCGGTAGGGGAAGAAAACTTGTTCAATGCATATCGTACCCTTCCGTTACGAAATGAGATGTGGTACAATACACTGCTGTCTTTCCTTCCTTCAGGGTATCATAAAAGGTGCCGCAAAACCCTAGGCCCTTTCAATGGCAGTTCTGTGCGACAGTGTGTTAAGAAGAAGCTTTATTTATGAATAAAACTTTAGGGTGGATTTTTGAACAGAGCACTATCCAATAATGCAGCTTTATTTCAGAGAAAATGCATTATAAATCCGGTAAATAAAGCTGCATTATCAGTTAGTACTCTGTTCAAAAATCCACGCTTAATTTTTTTCTACTGATGGAGAAGTGAGGAGAGTTCCCTGGCCATTCCGCAAAGCCCTTGCCACTCGGCAGCTGACAAACGACATTGATGTATTTGACAAAGCAGAGATGGCCAGGGAATATCTCTCACCTTGACGTCTGCGAAAGCAAGTCTTTTAACGTTCAAACGTCGAGATAATGTCCTCATACTCTGTAATTATTTTGGGCAACGTTCTTCATGTGTCTGTCCTTTGAAACGTGTCAAAAGAATTCTTCAACGCTTTGAGTTAGATAGATCTCTTCAGGTTCAACTGATGAATAATGACAACTAAGGACTGCTTGTCTCCCTTTAGTAAATTCGAATAAATTTGAGACCAAGTGCGCCTCATATGAAGGTCATACTCATTTAATATAATATTCTTAACCTAATATTGCTGCACACTTTTGTCTCACAAGCGGTGAAACGACTGCTGCCTGATGCATGCCTGTTCTTCAATTTATTTTATTTTTTAAGTCCTGTTCACTCTCATAGAGTGAGCAATAGTTTTCGCCTTTGGCTCATGACACGAGAAGCAAGGGAAATTTTGCCGTTCCTCTTCAGCGGTAACTTTCGTTGCCACGAATTTAACCTTCATCAGCAGTGGTTGCCCAAAAAATGCACTCATCCTAGATACCCAATTACACTTAATGCCTCAATTGATTTTCCCCTTGATTTATCCTCACTGAGTGAAGGAGTGATAGCTTGGCAGTTGTATCGTAAGAAGCAACACGATGAGATGAGGAGGCGACCGCCCCTTCCTTGAAGCCAATTGTCTGCCGGATTATTACAAAATAAAAATAAAACTTCAAAAAATTTGCAATTTATCCTGAATTTAACTAAATTAAACATAGAAATTAATACGTAATGTATTGTTGGTACTGTGGAAGCTGGAGAGGTACTGAGGGGGGGGGGGCAGGTTGATATCTCGCCCGGGGGGGGTGACATTTCGCACAGGGCGCCAAATATCCTCGGTACGGCGCTGCAGAGCACTTACAAGTATCTGGGCTTTGAGGAGAATGCCACCACTGCTCATCGCAGAATGAAGGTCAAACTCTCTACTCAATTCAAGAAACGCGTAAGAACGGTGTTAAAGACCGAACTGAACGGCAAGATCACGGCTATAAATACATTTGCCATTCCCGTCCTCAGTTACAGCTTCGGAATACTGAATTGGACCATCGCCGAGCTGCAAAATCTTGACCCGAAAGGCGAGGAAGCTGCTGACACTTCACCGGCAACACCACCCAAAAGCTGCGATCGAGAGACTGTATCTTCCAAGGAGAGACGGTAGAAGGGGACTCCTGAATATAGAGGGTCTCCATCAGCGTTCGATGGCCAGCCTTCAGGGCTTCGTAGACGAGAAGGGTCGCTTAAAAACGATGCTGGGTGAAACCCGCCGTTTTGTAAAAGCCAGCTCTCCCACCGACCCTGAAGACGTCAAGAAAACCCAACGAGCTACCTTCCTCCAACATTGGCATGATAAACCTCTGCATGGTCAGCATGCAAGAATGGTAGAAAAGCCATGGGTAGACAAGAACTTCAGCAACCAGTGGCTAAGTAGAGCCGGTCTGAAAGGGGAAACGGAAGGAACCACCTTTGCCGTACAAGACCAGACCAGCAGGACCCGGTATTATTAACGTCATGTCATGGGAAAGGAAGTGAATGACACCTGTCGAGCCTGTCAGCAACATCCAGAAACGAGACATCACATTGTGAGTGGGTGTCCAGCGCTAGCTGCAAGCACCTACATAGAAGGTCATGACAATGTGGACACGTCCACTGGTGCCTCTATAAAGACAGTGGACTGCCTGCTTCCAAACGTTCGTACCAACATCAGCCAGCCACAGTTCAAGAAAACGAGAAAGTTAAATTGCTATGGAACGTTCCAGCGACTGGGCAATCAGGGCTAATAAACCTGACATTGAAGCAGTCAATGAGCCGACGAAGACCACCAAATTAATAGTGTCCCTGCGGATTCAAACCTCCAACAGAAAACCAGGAAAAAAATTGAAAAGTACACTGATCTCAGAATCGAAGTGGAACGAATGTGGGGCACCACTTCTATTCGACGCATCCGACGAAAAAAGGCCATGGAAAATTACAATAATAATAATCATCCTCTCGAGAACATACGGAGCCTGTTTCGACCGTGAAGAATGGCATCATTAAACTATACCGTTTTGCTTTTCATGCTTTTTAGGTCATCTTCGGATTATCACTAGCTTGAGCAACGGTTGAACTCCACATAGCTGATGCTATTCGTGAAAGCCACTCAAAACTACATGTACGTATTCCACACACTCGAAACAACTTGAATGCCGTTTCTTCTGTTGTTAGGTCTCCAATTTTGCAATGGTTGAACCTACTCGGTAACAAGGCGTGTGCCTAACATCTTCATCCTAACATCTTGGAAAATCGCGAAAAATTGCCCGGAAGCAATCAACGATAATCGCCGGCTTTTCTTCTCCTTTGAAGTTCGCAATGATTCGCTATTCGCTAATGCCGCTCACCCCAATGCCTAAAACAATGTCAGATAAACCTTGAGATAGATGGAAGGACAGCAGCGATTTGTCTCACATTTAAAATCAATGTAAGAGATGGAAGAAGAAACGGAAAGGACAAATTTAAACCCTCGGCAGTGCACCAATCTAGGTAGACATTTTCACGTCTCCTTATCATATTTTCTTCTCGATGCGCCACAGAAACACAATTCCTCAATGCGGTAAAATGCTGTTAATGATGTACGTGCCGTTGTTCATTGAACCAGGTGAATTACATGGTGGTCATGCCGGAGGCCCTGGCCGCAGGGAAGTTCTGCTACTATGGCCTGAAAAGCTTCAAAGGTACGTTTATATCCTTAAATCAAGCAGGACTTGAATATATATTGTCAAATACGGTATATGACATCCGCATACGAATTCCATCATTTCATTGGAACGAATAGTTGGATATGCAGCCATACCGTTGAATGAGACCGTGTCGGAGTGCGTTTTCAACATGGCGAAGAAGAGGAAGAGCCTGGAATGGTCAGTGGAGGGACGGATCCTGGCCGAAGAACCAACGACCATATGGAAAGAGATCACGAGCGATCCAGGGAAGGTCGTCCTAGGTCTCATGTTTGGAGCCCTTCTCATCTTCAATCTGTGGTATTTCGTGACGAGGAGCGATTGGTGGAGACGCAACTGCAGACGCGGGCAATACGGTGGTGAAACTACTGGATTCGCTCATTAAAATTTCCCCTCTCGTGAGAACACTCTTTTATTTACCCATCCTTTCTCTCCTCAAAAAATTGAACTCCGCTGGACGGCGAATCGTCTTACTTCATCTTTTTCCACATATACCAGATCGAACGGCATTTGCTTGTAAATAAAGATCCAAATCGGTTGTATGACACCCACTGGATCCCTATGTTTGCAGCTGATTCGTACATTCGTCGATGGTTCGAGCAGCTGGAGAGAACAGAGGGCTAGTGTCATTCTACCGATGACGGAGTGGCATCCGCGAGGTTTACTGGGAAACATAAGAGCAAGGTGTTTGGGTAGGGATCGAGCCGATAAGTACGTTGGGACCTATCATAAGCCCGAGATCCATCCAAGCGTATTCCAGATTGCCTTGACAAAACCGGTCGATTCAAGTTTTTCTTTATCCCTTTTGAGTTTCAACCCTCAGGAACTGCAAGCATCTTAAAAATTCCGTGACCAAGAACAGAACACATTTCATTCCAAAATTTCTATGTCTGCAGAGCTATAAAATCCAAAGGCAAAAAAAATTAAATGGTCTGACAAAATTCCTTCTCTCCTTCAACGATGGCTGCGTACAATTTAAACTTCACGTTATTTCAAAAGTACTGGATTGGTCCCACTTTGAAACCCACCTTCCAGCTGCGACACGAACTATTTAATGCCGTTTGTGATGGTACACTTGCTTTCATAATAATCAACTACAGTTTTTTCTGTGCCTTATCCTTGGTTGTGGAAGTCCTCAAATCATATGTAGACGGTGAGCTAGATTGGGTGAGAACCGTGCTTGGGCCCCAGTCTGACAACAATATTGACTAAACGTCGATAAGTGGTTGATGAAGTTGATGGGATGTTGATGATGATCCAATGCATTATCAACATTGACTCGATTTTGAAAATATCAATATTGCGAGAACATGGAAATCGCGCTAGACTTCAGTTGGACATTCAATCTCCTGTCAACGTTACATCAACAGGTCGGACGAGCCATTTTTGGTAGTTATTCGAATAAACAAGGTTCCCAGACCCCGAAGTGAGATGGCGACAAATCGCCAACACAGCGGGTTACCTAATATATGCAACTGGCATGCGTCCTGAGTACTTTTCGAAAGGTATTTTATATTTTCTCCACAGTCAACGGCATTTGAATCCCTGGATACAATCGACGAAAGAGGCAACCCAAACCAATGAGATCCAGAATAACTCTGAGCCCAGGAATGGAGAGAATAAAGTTCACGGAGTGATATGACTTCATGTGACCCCCAGCCTAACTCGAGAACGAAATTCTAATCCCTATCCTGTGGGTCACGCGGGAGGGTCCACGGAATAGTTATCAACCATCTTTTCATTGACTGTTGTCACTCAATTGTGTTCTTACATCTGCGAGCTCGAGATTCTATTCTCGACCTGGAATATGTCGAGATTGGGGGAAGGACATATCTAATCTCGACTCAGGAGATTGGAGGAGATTCAGATCACGCTATTCGGAGAATTGCAGCACACAATTGGAGCATAGCATGAATTCAACAGCAATTTTGAGACCTGTCTCATTTCGACATTGAGTCAATTTTGAGTCAGTGTTGCAATCAATGTTCTTCAACGTGATGGATGTTGAAACTTCAATGTTCTTACAAGAGCATCGATATTGTTGTGCAAACTAGGTTGTCACCGTCTGAGATTGTGATATGAATTGCGGCGTCTGTGCCAAGCAGACACCTCCTTCCTCTCTCTGGACTGCAATTGAACAAGTCCATTGTCTCGTGTATCCACCGAACGTCCCCAATTTAAAAATTATAACAATCATCAGGACACCTCTGCACATTTCCCTTCTCCGAAGTCTGTTGTCCAGTGCCTTATTCCCATCTCATCCTTGCAGCCTACTTCCTTAGCACGAACTCAAAAGTCGTTAATGAAAGCGTGTTTATAGCTGGATCGGCAAGAAAAAATCAATACTGGATGGAAGTTATTTCTTGACCTTTTTCAAACTTACTATGATGCACTAATGGATTTCCTAAAGGGAATTAGCGGTCATATGAGACATGCTACAAGGTGGTCAGGAAACGTCGGGCGTCCTACAAGGCATTCTAAAAGAAGAAAACATCCCATTTGAATAATATGTAAGTTCGACACGTAGGTATCCCAGAGAAAGCCTATTGTAAATTGCATAGGGTTCTCTGTAGGAATGCATGAGGATCCGATGATTAGTTATTGATGATTATAAGTTATAGGGACCCAATAAATCCTGAAAAACAGAGTTTTTTTTTTTTTCAGCCAACTGCACCAATTACTAGCCCAAGGTCTCAACTGTACTTACAACGACAGTGGAGTTAATTCGGAGCAGTCGAGCATTTGTCTCCTCGAACGTTATAATGTTGGGAAGAATTTGTGACTAGTCTACACAGCTAAATTAATTATTCTTAATGATATATATATATTTCAATCTTGACACCAACCAGTGACAATGGCCATAAGTACCATCACCGGTACGCGTACCAGTGATTGAAAATCGTTGCTGTAGAAGACCAAGAGTTCAAACTATGCCCGTCCATGAGACCGATCTTGTTCACTACATACCAGCCGTGTCTGTTGCATTCCACAATTTGTCATTTTCACAAAATGTATAGGTTAAAGCCCAATGTATACTTATGTAATTATGTAATTATGACATACATGTAAATTCCAACTTATGATGCACTCTGTGTAACTCACAAGGAGACAGAAATTGCAGCTTCGATTTTTTACTATTATTTCATCATGTGAGCATTAAACGGTTAAGAATCCGATGTGTGAATCTACGAATGACGAAAACCAAACAGGGAGGAAGAATTCAGCTTACCGCGGAGTTTCCCGAAGTATCCAGTCTTGCGAGACGAGCAGCAGAAGCAACCACAATGCAAAATGACATAGGTGCCGAAAACTTCTTATACACCAGGAAACTTAAAGAGGTCCACGACACGAGGCTATGAAATTCGCCGGTACACTATCACGGGCCAAAGAAACCAGCCGGAATGAAACTAAAAGATCACAGGGTATATTGGACACTCATCGGACTGAGAAGGGTATTCGATGAAGCTTCATGCTTCAGACATCGGCGTTCTCGATGACTCGAGAAAGATGACTCGAGGGCATAGACAGGACCGCACAAAGTCGGTGTCGGTGGGCATAAGTAAGGTGGTCGAAGGGGCGACAGACATCAGGCTCAAAACTTGGGCCTTTCCATACCGGAATGGGAAGTACGAGACGAAAAAAATTCTTAAAAAACCAAGTAGTGAGGCTCCTTTCGAGAGAGGCTTCGTAGCATCACCTCCTTGGACGAAACATATTCTCAATTTCCATAGCTGAATCTCATTTCTCGATCAGATTTATTTCGCTTCAACAAGAATCCATGAGGGCCAAGTATGAGACCACACTATTGGTGACGTAATTGAGTAGATGTAGGATCGAGCGGAGCGAAAAGATTTTGCTCTATTCGTTCCGTTTCCATCCAGCACGGCCACATGCTGGATGTGAGCACATATTAATTCCACAATAAATTTTTTTTCTGGTATGGAATTCAATTTAAAAAACATAAGCCTGTTGTCTCGTCCACGCGCTCGCTCATGAATTTTCACCGCCATCGACACTATAAATTATTCCAGCCCTGAAAAATTTTTTTTTCAAACTTGGTCAGCCAGGTAAGATTTTTCCTTGACGTGTCTGGGGTATTACGACTGACGATGCTAACTCGTACAGGGCAGGGGGGGAGGGCGGTAATAGCGTTTTTTTTTTTCATTTTTCACTCGCCAGACCATCTCATTTTCAATAGCAAGGCTGTTTACTTTTCGCTCGCCAAATCGCAAAACGCACTCACTATTGGCGAGTGTGAATTTTGCTGGCCAACCCGGCCAGCAAAAGTTTGAAGTATTCACCAACACTTCAAACGTCGCCTTCAAATCTATTTTGATTCAACGGGAGAAAATTTTGAACATTTATTATAGTGTATCTGTACGTTATCTTACAGGTAATAGCTGTCCAGTCCCTCTAGGATATTTTATCTCTTACTCTTCGCGTTAGGGCAGGAAAATGTTTCCCTTCCCCTACATCTCGGTTACGGTGAATATAGTTCTGGTTCCCAGAGTTAGCAATTAGATCGTTGCTTCGCTCATTCTGTTGCAGAATCCTCGCCTCCACGACCATCCTATATCCAATTTCTTTCCCTAATCTGTTCGAATCCTAAACTCTATCGTCATGGAAATAACAAGTACAGATTCAAACAATAATCAAGTCATTTTTATTGGAATGATGAACAGCGCAATTTCGACAATAGCATGCATAAGATCACCACTGACAGCCTGAATGCAAAGCAAGAAAGAAAACACTGATTTAAAATATTCAAGCAATTTCCTGCAAAAACTTTAATTGGGCAACCCACCTGCTATGTGAAAAGGAGGTAATCATTCCAAGCGAGACTTGGGATAGTTGGCCAAAATGTAGTGGTATGTGATGACAAGGAGGAAGAGTGAAACTCCAAGCACATTGGCAAAGATGGCCAGTTGTACGTCTGTAATCATCTCTTAAAGCTTCAAGGAGCTGGTGAGTAGCTCATGCACCTACTGGTGAGTTTCCTGTTAAATACCAAATTCAAGCTCAATACATTCATGAAAAATTATATATTGCAGGTTACAATCTTGTAGTAAGGTATCTGTGAATATCCTTGCTTGTGGGGTATGGCAGTCCCCCCAGGGGATAATTCCCCTGCAGCTTCCACCATAATGTCATCATTTAATTGTGGAACTCCTGCTGCACATTTCTCAATTCAAGTGTTCCCTTTATTCAAACTTATGCACGACTCAGGACAAAGAATGGAATTCTCAAAAATTAAGGTAGAGATGAGCCAATTCTGGTCTGGAAGAAAATGAGGCCATACAAACATTACTCTCTGATAAACAAGGAAGATTCCTTTTACTAGCATAGGCTGCAAATGCACAAAAGGGATGAGACAAGAATGAATCACAAATTGAAATGAGCTAGCCCTAGTACAACACACTCACATGCAAAAAATCTTTTGAACTTTCTCGACCAAAGTTAAGAACATGGGATGTAATTAACAGAATGCCAAAAGGATTCATTCATTCGGGGCCATGGCTCGTGCCTGGGCTCGCACTCGCTTCTCGTACTCCAGCCTGTTCTGGCAATAGATGGTGTAGGCTTCTGCCTGAGCTGGATCACGGATGTTTGGCTCATTCAGCAACTCCTAAAGAGAAAAAGTGTCCCAAGATCAAGGAGATTTAGTGGAGACATTCTCATCATAGACTGTATTATAGGTTATAGACTGGAGAATGTAGCTTTGATTACAGTATGCAGTATTTGTAACACAAATAGAGATGTGGCACATCGCAGGAAGTTCTTGACGATTAAAAATCCACTTAAGATTGGTTTTCTTAATAGAATACTTGGGGGAAATGAAATTTTGAACCTGTCAAGTGACTTCAAGGACACCCTGTAATTTATAGTTACTGTCAGATTATAAAAAAAGGAAACAAGCAGATGCATGAAATACTGACTGATTGGATTGATATTTGACAGAGACAAGAAATAATGTGATTATGCTAAACTTTTAGTCATGATGTTTTCATGAAATACAAACAAAATTTGGAGCTGGACAATTATCAGCAATGAAGAAGTACAAGGTTTGTCCTTTAGCAACCTGCACCATACAGTCATTGCACACTCAGGGTCATGAAAATCTGGGTGGATAATAATGAGAAAAATCAGTTCAACAAAATGATTTAACTACCAAATGTGAAAAAATGCATTTAAAACAATTCTTAAAAAAATTCTACAAGAACTGACAGGACAACAAATTGACTAAAATTGTTTGACAATAATCATGAATGATAAAAATGTACAGGGTGGCACAAAAGTCACACACCATAGAGTAAATTACAGTATATGTTTGAATAGTTTACCATTAACATATCTTAACTCCACCCTCTTGTCTTTTGTTAATTTTGCTGCCATCAGTTACTTGCAATAGAAGAGACAAGAATTAATGTAGTGCAACAGTGAAATCCTCTATGGTGCATGACTTTTGTGCCACCCTGTACAAGCATTATGCTTTGAATGGATTTGAGCATGAATATATGAAATCCTGAGATCACAAACTACCATTTTCAGCATAAAACCACATAATGCCTGTCTTGATATCCTGGCCTAAATTCAATAAGTGCAGTTTGCGACTGAAACTTAATTTAATTTACTTAACATGTACACTTATTTACTAACACTCCATGTATTGTATTTATACATGGAGATGTAAATTAACAAATAAGCATAAATTAATATTTGGATATCAAACAATAAATGCCTGCTAATGAAAAAATAAAATTGAACTGGCAAAAATTATAACATAAAATTGACTCCAGACTCTCACACAAAGCACAAATCCTATCTACAAAGAGTGGAGAAAAACAAAAGCCAGCATAATAATGTGCACAATATACCATATTAACTGAAAGGTCAACTTCATTTTTCAAATTTGTGCAGTTAATATTCAGCAATCTACTGTATCAAAGAAAACAAAAAAAATGTTAACAGCTTTCCACACCTGAATGCCAAGTAGTATTTGCTTGATGGTGATGCCAGGACGCCAATCCTTTTCTTCATCCAGCAGTGAGAGGCAGACGGTTCCTGATGGATAGACATTTGGATGAAATAATGGAGGTTCAAATTTGCATTTGGGAGGGGTGGAGGGATAATCCTCTCGGAAAATCATTCTCAGCTTGTACAGCCCTCCTTCCCATGGTGTTCCCTTCTTCCCTGCAATCATAAAATATACAAGCTCAACTATACTGCATTGACAGTTTCAAAGTAGTTAATGTCTTTGATAAATTCCAGATTCAAAACTGTCAAAAACAGGATGACTCAGCAGATAGGTCAAATGACAATCACAGGCATTATATCATTTTTTGTTCCATTATGTACATTATATTGCCAAAAGTCAAGGTCCATCCACAGAAATAATAGTTAGATAGATGTGTATTGTCATAGCATGTATGGTACAGCATCACAATGGAACCCAGTAACAATGTGACAGGCTGGTGCAGGCATGTCCATGGTCTGGAACATCAGTTAACAGCATGATAGCAGTATGAAAGGAATCACTGGCTCCTAGGAGGACATGGTAGTTGGGTGGAAAAGTCAGGTCAAGCTACTGCTGCTTTTTGTCCTGTCCCACTATGTGGTGTGTATAGTCATAGCATGATGATGATAGATGCATAGATACACTGGACACATTTTCCTGCCATGATGGGTTCAGGCTTTCATACATATCAAATGGCTCATTAAGGTGGGAATTTGTTCTTCATAATTTCATTTTCCATAGCAGGTTTCTAAAAATAAATAACCATGTAGGAGGCTGACATTCTTCACATTCTGCATGCTGGAATAAGATTCTTTTGTTTCTTATGGAAAGAACAATAAAAAAAATCAAAATGAAGAGATTTGGCTCTATACTATGGATAGGCAACCTCAAAAAGGGAAAAAATGTAAAATACTAGAGTACCAGTCCAGGTACAGATCTGGCACTCTACTTGTCCATATACCACCAGAAATATCTGCTCTGCAGCATCCTAACCATCCAACCTTGAAATAAATACTAGTTGTCATTGACACAGCATAGGCCTATATGAAAAGGCCCAGACAACTAAACATGTTCTCGATGGTTTGCATGTCTGCATCGCATGGAGATGGGAGAAGAGTATGTGCAGAATGCCAGATGCCCCATAGTACCAATGGGAATGGCAGATAATGAATGGGAACTACACAAAGAAATACTCATTTTCTGATTTCAAGCACAAATCCTTTGATGGCACCATTTTAAATAGATAGGAGTTTAGCTTCAAAAGGCCAAGGACTTCAATTTGAACTTTTTTTTCACATTATATTTTTTAATTAAATTATTTTCAAATAAAAATCGAATTAAATTTATTTCATGATTTCTGATTAAATCAACCATGCTGAATCCATTGCTGAAGGTCTTATGTCAAAACATTGGAAAACAAGCTGAGGTATTCAGTTAAAATTTTTTTGAAAATTAATGTTCTGGCACTGTATTGGCTAAAAGTTACATCCAATGCTAGTAATAAAAAAAAATGTAGTACAAAACCTTTCAGAAAAATTATACTTTGGTCCATAAGTCATTGAAGGAACTTTTTGGGTATTCTTCCATTTTATCTGGGTTAGTGCTGTCAAATGTCCAGAGAAAGCATGCCTGAACTCTACTGAGAATGAAAAGGCTGATGGATACAGATTGTATTAATAGTTTTGTATAGCAGGGTCAGGGTAGGGGGAGAGAGGAGCTTGTGTTAAATTATATCAAGAGCACCGACAAAGGACTTTACAATTGTGCAAATATGATAATTCTGAATAAAAAGCAACCCCATGAAACTTCAAAGTTTTTTTTCTTTATATTGAAAAAGTTGCTCCATCAGGATTTACATTTAATATGGATTTCAAGTTATGTTACAGCAAGGCAATAACATACTCATTTGGGACATGCTTAAGGTGAATGAATAGAGGGAGCTCTCAAAAGCAATAATGGACCTTTTCCTCAGTATCATTGCCTTGTGAGAATGTCAGAATGAATAATTCAGAGTGCAAAGGTACAGTCAATTAGAACAAATTGATTTTGACTGAACAAAAAAAACTGATGTAACCTGGAAGCTTCAAGAGGAGAAATTTTTCCACATGATATATGAAAATTTGAAACAAGAGGAAAAGTCATGCCAGAAAAGAGCTTTTCAATGCCTTTCATTAATGGCAGCAACAAAAATGTCTAGGGTAACCCTGTGGTGGTGAAAGCCCTGTTGAATATTAATGAATCAGGCTGTCTTCCTGAAGGCAGACCTCCCCATGGGAAACAAGACGCTCAAAAAATTAACTTACTGTGGATAGGAGGGAAATAGGATTGATCAGAGGTCCCCAGTTTTGGAGACAGTAATGACATTAGCAAACTTCCCCACAGAGAGAAATCAGCCTGATTGGAGACAAAGATTATGAAACAAGAACAGTAGGCCACAGAGTTTGGCTGCAGAACTCTTTGTAATTAATGGAAACATGGATTTGAGGCCATGTGATTTGGAGCTATCCAAGGCAGATATAAATGGGGAATCTTGGAAGGGAAAATTGACACATTTTGAAACTAAATCTATTTGAAGTAATAAAAAAAAGGGACCATGATCTTCCAGGATACATGCAGATGGAATATGCAGATTGAAAGGCTTACTTAATGTCCCTAGTTTCTTCCTCCCCTAGCCCTTCTTTAGAAAATGCCTGTATTGCTATGTTTTCCTTTGCTATGACATGATGCAGCAGTCAAGAACACTTCAATAAGGAGGCAGCTCTAAAAAAAAAAAAAAAAAAAAAAAAAAGGGCTCTTTAGAGACAGACACATCTATAAAACAATGTTGAAACTATGGTCCATAGTTGGGCAGGGATTCAAACTTAGGAGATGTTGAACCTTCAGGATGTTAATTTTAGAATATTTGCTCTGCAGTATCAAGAAATGATAAACTTGGCACTTGGAACATAAGTTTCAAGAATCTCAACAGGGTTGTATTTTTTGAGCCACTCAATAGAAGAGAAGGCTGTTTGCATATTGAGTAAATCTATTAGTCCTATCCTAATAAGGAAAAATTTTTGTAAGCTAACTTCCATTCAGACTGCACAAAGCTAGTGTTGCAGGGTCAGTTGCATACTAAATAAGGATGAGGACAGCACTGTTTGAGTATTTTCACAACATGCAGGAAGAGATGCCTCCAAGCTAAGGCAATGTTTTAAAGTAAAGAAATTGCTGCAACCTCTCCACTCCCACATGTACAGAGTCTTTCAATGACATAACTCTCCACCTTTTATGGGATAAGTTCCATCTGGGTTAGGCTAATTTGAGATATGTAATATTATGTCATAATGAGGGTGACAGGGGGGGAATTGTGATAAGGAAGTATGTTCAGCCTCTCTCTCCCCCCCAAAAAGACTCACCTGGTATGGCACATTCCCAATTCATAAGATTCATGGAACCATCAGGATTTGTGGATGGACGAGCAACAAATCCAAACGGATGGTCTTTCCTCCATCTTTTTCGTTCTTCAGCCAATCGAACATGTGTTATGCCTGCTGCCATGTTAAAATTAGTAATTGGTCTTGAGTAATCTGCAAAAAATAAATGATAGCCTCAGGTTCAGACAAAATTTCAGCTAGAATCATTTAAGAGTCATCCTCATTCTTTTCTAATTGTCAAATCTCTTATAATAAATTATTTTCCAAGCAAGTTCATGGTGTACGGTATTTACTTCATAATTCAAAGAGAGCCCATCTTGCTCTCATCTTTTATACAGGGTGAAAAGGATTTCTGAAGCAGAACTAATTACAAAGAAATAAGTGAGACTAGTACTATTGATTAAATATTTAAGTCTGCACAAGTGCACTATGCTTCATTCACTTCATTTACACAGGATGGCCTGAATAAATGTATCCACTCTTCATTGCTACGCAAAAAGTGTACAAAGGATGTACGAAGATTATTAGTATTTGTACTGAAACCATACACAGTAATGGTGCCAACAGCTAGCTTCATACAATACAATCTTATACATAGCTCATAATTTGATACATTTACATTGGTACATACATATAGTATGGTTTTACCCCAAAACAGACTACATGGAAGTCATTCATTGAAAACCATAAATATCTACAATAAACTCATCTAGGCCAATGGTCAATACCAGTTTCATTATTCATGCAAATCAGAAACATGATACAATCTGTAACAAATATTCCCATCAAAGGACACTGAATACTGGAAAAAAACATAAAACTAAATCAAGTCAAACCCCATATGGCAGTAGGTCCCCATGGGTACTGCAACTAAGCAAATAAGAGCAATGCTAACTGAAACTAAGCAAATAAATAAAATTCCTTAATTCACAATTTTGGTCATAGTGCCCAATCCAAACATGCCAGTAAATCTCTATTTTTTTATAAATTCACAAATATAGCTACAAGATCCATCTTTGAAACACTTGTACTGAAGTAAAGAATTCACCTAGATAGTCACCAACTAATAATTATGGGACTAGTATGATAACTAATACTGGCTGCAATTACCAAAGCAACCAGAAAATAATTGAAGGGCTAAAAAGAAACGTGGTCCTTTTACCAAAAATTCCTTCCTGGGGCTCCACACACAGAAATTTTTTTAGCTATCTCATTAAAAGTAAGGAAAGGTAGTATGAATGGTAGTATGAATGGATGGACCAGTTTCTCATTCATGTAATTCCCCAAAACTATCATTTTCAATGAAAGGTATGAGTTTCTATGAGAACTAAACCATCCATATTATTTTTGGACTTTTTTTCCAGATATTTTATACAATTCCTTTCAGCCCCTCTTCAATTCATAACTGGAATGGGTAAAGCTATAATAATTAGATGCACACAGCTTACCTTTGCACATCAAAGCTCAATTCAGCAGGGACATTCCAGTTCTGTCATGCAAATTTAGAATGGTATATACACCTCTGTTAAAAAATATTGCCCAGGCTTCAGACTTTACTCTCAGACCATGAATTTAGTATTGCAATTTTTTGCTGCTAAGACTAGGAGAAAGCCTAAAAGGAACTGAAAGAGGACAACATTTTTGTAAAAAGGTGTACACTTCCAGCCAGACATGTAGAAACACTTCAAAAGTGTTGCTAACTTGACTCTAACAGTGTATCAAGAGAAAAAATGCCAAACTCAAATGAAAAACCATATCCAAGTTTTCCACCCCCCTCTGTTCCATTATATACCTCCTTGCTCTCTGACAATTATGCATATTGGTATAAAGACTATTCATGGCCACACAGGAAACAAGAAATCTCCCAAAGAATGTTTGTTTTAAGAGTCAACAAGTTTTTTTTATCTGTTCCACATGACAATAATAAACTGGTGATCTATGCACAATCTCATGTGGCACAATGAGGCTTGCTGCATTTGTGGCTCAATAGTCAAGCAGAATCAGTGAAATCATATTGATGATAGCTGCTAACAATGAGTGCTATCACTCCTTCACATGATTTGCAAATGTACATCTTGGAATGAGTACATCCCTAGATTTTGCCCATAAACATGCAATACAACATGAGGTCTTGTACCAATACAACATCTTGCCTAGAACTGAGTTAGACTAGGATGATCTCCTAACAAATGTAGTTCTATCATTAAAAAAAAACTTAATAGAACCTCTACCCTTGAAATAAGACCCCACGAGATCTTATTTCAAATATGTTTCTCCTTAAACTTTCTCTTAGCTCAAGGTTAGGCTAATGCTAAGGCTCAGTCTAAAGCTCTGGCCAAGGCCTACCGGGCTACTCTCCGCGGGTCGGCTTATTCTCCGCAACGACATGCGGACAGTCGATGAGACAAATTTCCGCGCCGACGGCTAACCAACCGCACCTAGCCAACTTTCAGCTGAACAGGCCTATGCCCGGGTTATGTACTGAATAATTCATATTAGCCTAGTCCTATTGACAGCGTGTTGTTACACTAAACGGAGTCCAAATTCCTACTTTCATGAGCGAACCGGTCACAGAAGACACTCTGAAACAACTTCGAGGGAATGGGCAAGTGTTTCACTTGACTCGGACACTTCTGCATGAGATGTTCTTCATGCACGAGTAACTGAGTCAAACAAAAAATTGTCTAAGTCAAATGGAATATACTTAACGAGTAACGAGTCATCTCCGATCGCATCGGCTCAGGTCGGAGTCTGGCTGTAGCAGTGTTGCCATAACTTGAAGACAATTTCCCGCTTACCCATGAGTCTCTTGGAATTCAAGATTTTTTTTCAAGATTCAAGATAGTTAGTGATATCAAGAGGCGATTTCACCCATTTCGATATCACGTGTCGAGGTCGAGTGTTCCTTAATATTATGGTAGGCCTAACCCTCTTAAAGCTAAATATTTTTGTATTTACTTGAAAGCCTGGATGAGATCGCCCCTCCTTAATAGATTTCAGGCATTCTTATAAGACAGTAGCGTGCCCAGAAAATCCCGATTGGGGGGTTGACATGAAAAATTGGTAGCCCACCCTGCATATATGGTAGAATAATAATAATAATTTTTTTTTTTTTGAATCGAACCTGTAAAATGTATCCCAAAGGAGGAGGAGGGATTATGACCCCCAACCCCCCATAGGGCACGCCACTATTAAAACATGAACCTTTTATCTCCTCAATGCGAAGGTAAGATTATCCAAGCAGAACTCACTCAAGAATTAATTAAGTTTGCTACCTTTACTGTCACGAAGTACGATGACGATGATATGACGTTAGTGGCGTATGAAAAGGGAGGAGGGGTATAAGGGGTTAAAACTCACCCCTTGGGCTTCCTGGTCAGTGACACTGACAGGAATATTTCGACCTTCCTTGGGAATTCAAATTTTTGCTATGCCCCTTCCGAGGGAAGTCCCATGTCCGTCCACACACCCAAGATGCAAGACCATGATTTCCTTGAAACGGTAAATTCCAGGAAGTGGAGCTAGGCGTAGGGTTGGAGTGTCTACCTGGCATCAACCCCTCTCCCCCTTCCCTTTTCCAATTTCCTGCCTACGCCACTGTATGACGTTGCTCAGGAAACAAACATGCCATCCATCATAAAACTGAAAAATATTTCCTGGTGCAGAGACCCGTGCCCGAAGGGCCACACCACATCCCAAGATGCTCATTCGATGAAAGAACGTTAAAGGGAGACGCCGATGCGCTGGGATCAATAACTGGGATACAGAAAAAAAAGTGTTGCTATCCAAGCCTGTATATGGTCAAACTACAAGCAATATTGGCCAGAAAACAAAAAGGTAACAGTTCCCTGTGGACAAAAGGCAGCGCCATGGCAAGGGGAGGGGGGAAAGGGGCCGTTCTGAAGCCCCCCCTCCCCTCCATGGCTCCAGTGCATGGCATAGAAAAGGAAAAGGAAATGGAAAGTAAAAGGCTATTGCAAAAAAAAATAAAGAGGATCTACTTCATAATTGTGCAGGATGATTAAGCAATAGAATTCGTTAAATAGCTAAAGTCTGAGAAATCATTCATGTCTTCCATTTTCTTTTAGCTCTTCATGCAACAATGAAAAATCTAAAACGAAATATTTTTCCAAGCTTCAAATCCTTAGATAATGGTTCATATCTTACATTCACACATTCTGCTAAATGTAATTATTATATTTACTTCATTTATTTTCATTTATTTGTTCATATATGAGTGTATTTCTGTAAGTATGCAGGACCGATAGATCCACTTCTCCCTTCCTACCTTCTTTTTCAGCCAAACCTTATCAAGCCCAAGCTAGCTTAAATACCTTGGACAGATAGCCGTTAATCGCAGAATGTTTGTTTAGACAATAAGAATGGATTTTTGAACAGAGAACTATCAGATAATGCTGCTTTATTTCCAGGAAATATGTATTTTCCTTGGAATAAAGCTGCATTATCAGATAGTTCTCTGTTCAAAAATCCACCCTTAATTTCTTTTTATACTTCTACTCTCTATTCCCAGAGTGATGACTTCGTAGAACGGAGAGGATTGTATCCCGTCGGAGACGAGGAATGAGTGAAGCACTCGAGAAGACATGCAACTGAATTAGTAACTGGTTGTCGACGAGAGAGCAGCGATTAAATGGGGGTGTCGACGGAAGTCATGATCGCAAGCGGTGTCCCTCAAGGCTCGGTCTTCCATCAGTACCTCGTTAAGCATCATTGAGTTATGGTTAATGAGGGGGCACCTCAACCAGGCATTTGAGATCATTAAAGAAATTGATAGCACAGAGTATGTTCTTTCCGTTTCGATGGCAACAGCAGAACGAGGGGGAACCAACTCAAGCTGCGTGAACCCAAGGTGAAGTTCAGGTTGCGGCATGACTTCTTTACTTGTAAGGTAGCGAACGCGTGTTATTCGTTACGTGATGTAGTGGCTACCCCTTCAGTGGCTAGCTTTTAGAGGAGTTTAGATGCCTTCATGAAGAAAGCAGAAAAGGGAGCTAATGTAGACCTAAGTGACTGAGGCCCGTTCACAAATTACGTAACGCAAGGGGGGGATCAGACAAAGTGTTACGATTTGTTACGGGGGGGGGGGGGGGGGGAGGGTGGTTGCACGAATGTCACGTAACAGGTTTTTTTCATAAATAAATAAATAAATTATGCGACTGGAATTTCTTATTAGAAGGTTAATTGTTTAGTAACAAATCACTAACACAAGAGCCAACCCTACTGCCCACCCGTACCCACTACCCTTACTAACAGTGGAGTGGGCATTGGGAGCGTGGGAACGTCTGTTGACTTCCCTCTCCCCTGTTGCAAACTTGCTAAATCGCTGTTTCATGTCTGGACCTGCACAGACAGACCAAACAGGCTCAGTTACCCTTTGGACGTTGCCCTCGTTCGTTTCTCTCTCTGCATCACGATCACCATTTCCACCATTCTACCCTACATTTCCCCGCCTCCTTTTACTCTTTTTTAAAATCTCAAATGGGTGATCACCATCAATCAAAATGAACATAGACAAAGGAAAATTATTTCCTTGAAGAAAGAACCGAATGAAAGAAAAAGCTTTCCTTTCATTTTTTTTTTTAATTTCCAATTCAGACTCTGAAGCATAACAAAGGGTGATTTTTGAGTCTCAGGCAAGTTAACAGCCTAAAGCTTTTTTTGGGTCATCCATAGCCCATAAGTGCAAGTTCTGCGATCAGAGGTACTTGTCTCCTAAGGGACCAATGAGGACCGAACCATTTTTTTTTGTGGCATCATTCACTTGACAGTGCCACTATTGGCATTCCTTGCCCATGGGAGCCATCACAGCTGGTTTTACCTCCCATTCACAGTCAATTTTCAGGATGAAGATTACTAAATGATTACAGAAACAACGCCCTGCTTTAATCTGCCTTTGTTTTACAACCCAATGACTTCAATACCAAAAATCTGTCAGATTGCTATGCACAAAAGGTCGGCATCATGTGAAACAACAAGAGATCCATCATATGCAGTAAAATCACACCAATTATTCACAAGAATTTTGAAAGGGGGGGAGGCATAAACAATACAATCCACAAACAACCACCAGCTCAGAGCAAAGTTCCCTTTCCCCTCATTCAAGGTCATTTTCCTTCATTACACACTGGCAGTTTTGATAAGCTCAGGTACAGCAAAATCTAGAGACACTGAATAGAGATGGGACCTTCATCATCCCTCACTTCATAATATCATCTCTATATTTGAATATAGAAATACAGTGAATCATTTAGTGCATGAGCAAAACTCAGAAAAAATTTATTTAATTTAATGAACTCACATACTTCCTGTAGAGGTGGACCAAAAAAAATCAAGCATTCTTTCTTTCTTCTGTAATACTGTTTCTTTTCTTACTGGTCTGCACCAAAGTGGTGAAATGCCAACATACTTGCATTCTAATAGAGCTATTCTATGCTAATACAAGAATACAAACACTAATTTGAAAGATCTGAAGGTGTTCATTTTGAATAGAACACATTGGTTATAAACTGATTCTCTGAAGATCCAAGCAAAGTGAGGAACATTTTTTCTTATTTTTTGAGGGGGAGAGAGGTACACTGTGTACAACTGGGAAACTACTTCAGGAGCAACCTTTAAAGTGATGACCTCTGGTGACAAAGCAAAGATGCAGTAGGAAGTATAGGGAAAAAAATAATCCAAGTTGCATTCTTCATTCAGAATACAAGTTCCATGGTATGAGTGAAGCCAGACTTCAACTGAATTCCTGGCTCACCGGTTTTGGATTCTGAAAAGGGGAATCTCATTTTCTTTTCTTTTTCTCTTGGAAGGGAGGGGGAGGAATGGGCCTCAAAGCACCCTCTTTAATGAGGACTTCTTCAAGGAAGAAGATGGTTTCCTCAGCCAGCAAGAATTCATAAGGGGTATCCACCTCCAAGCTCAACTCTGCTGGAACCTCAACATATGTCACCCTGTCAACATACACAACACATGGTATGGGACTACCCTGTTAATCCCAAACGACACTCAAAGACACGAGCAAAGGGGTGTAGGATGCAAAAAGAAAATGATACCTTCCAGATTGGAAAGAAGAGGAGAGGATGCCCTGTGAGGAACTCATGTAGAACATGCCATTCTCAACAAGCATCCCTGGCCAGTCTTGTCGACGGGGTCTTTGCATTGGGTCAAAGTTCACCGGTTCCGTTGCCTGCCCTGCCCAACCCACACCACATGAGCACAACAATGGGTGACATGTACCATATCTTAAGGAAGTAAAGTGACCTAAATCTAGGCAAATATGTCCAAAAGAATGTGATACACATTTCTTTAACCTGATTTGTGCCATACATATATTAAAATTAACTTCATTTTTCTCTTAAACTTATATTCAAAGATAACCTTGTCCCTTAGCTGCAGTACCAGCCTAAATGCACTCTCAGAGGCAGTTTCTAGATGCCATCCAGGTCTCAGGATGTTAAACAGGTTTAAACAAACACATTTAACTCACCTTTAAACTAATTCAATTTCTCATTTGGTGCATGTTACTCAGTGTTTATGAGTTCTCAACTATCTTTGGGACTCTTCTACCTCATTTAGAGCACACTATACTACATACCCTTTGAAACTTCCTTCCAGATGAACTTATGAAGGCGGGTGACGGAGAAGACTGAGTCCCAGTTTCCTTTCAGAATCAGATCACATGCTTCTTCCAGATATTTTGGTAGAACCATTGGGGATGTTGCTTGGATTAGGCACACCACGGTCACCTCTAGATGATAACAGTGAATGATAAGAATATGTAAGGTACCTCTCTACTGGCCTCACCTTCCCTAGAACTTCCCTAGTGTATATGTGATCTCAATCAGGAAAAGGGACAAAATGTCACAAAAACATTGCATAGAACAGTGGTTCTCAACCTGTGGTCCACAGACCACTGAACACATGGATCTTCTATGGAAGTGAAAGAGAGTTTGAGAACCACTGGCATAGAAGAACCCAAAAAATCACCCTGGGATTAAAATTCAACTTTATCCCATTTCAGAAAATTTACAAACTGCCATCTTTCCTCTCACCTCCAATTCATTCTTCATGTTTTTAAATGATATTGTGATTGTCTTATGGCATCTTATATCTCCCCTGTAGGTTGCTGGTGAGATTAAACGGCTTCAAAACTTCAAAGCAATTTTTCTTAAAACTTCATATCCTTAATGTGCTTAAAATTAAGCTTAAAGATATCACAACTTCACATGGAGTAAACATTTTTGAAAGCTGGTGTTTTACTTGAAAGGCTAGAGTGAGCAGAATATTCTAGCTCATAACTTTTCAGTTCCTTATCTCATATATTTGACAAAATGGTAGTAGATTGGGAGAGCAAAAAAGATCATTCACCAGGATGTTTTTGAAGGAACTCCCGGGTTGCAGAGAGAGAAGAGGAGGAATCTGTGGCTGTCTGGGGATCCCTCCAATGAACACATGCCCCGTATTCCCTCGCAACCTCCCCTATCTCCTCCTCATCCGTAGAGACCCACACAGAATCAAACCCTGGACATCCCAGTGAATTTCACTCATCCCAAACTTGTGAGCAATAGTTGAAAGATGGGGAGGAGGAGGAGAAAACAGACGCAAGACAGATTTAGCTGCATGGACAGCCCAAGCAAGAAGAGGATGCCCAGCCATGGGTTGGATGTTCTTCTTGAGGATCCCTTTACTCCCACCCCTTGCCAAGATCAATGCAACTATCATAGGCTTCTCTCCTTTACCTTCATCCATCCTTTATGGTCCTGTCTTCATTTGTTTTGATCCTGATCCCAGAAACTGGCAGAAATAGAGAAAAGGAAGTGAACTTTTCTCTCTAAACTCAATTGTGATTCAAAGAGCATGGATGAACTGTTAATGGAATATATTAGTGGAAAGTGACATGATGGGTGCACACAGTCTGAATTCTTGTCCATTGAGCAGGATCATGGATGAGTAACTGCATTGTGGAATGGAAAAGACTATCCAGGAAAATGGTACAAGAAGCAAGTCTTCACCTTGGCTTGGGGCAAAGAAATTTGAAGGAATTGGGAGGGGGGGGGAGTACAGTCTTGACTGGTCTGCAATATCTGTCTCAACTTCAAACTATTCCAAAAATAGCTGAGATTGATGTGAGAAGTAGAAACAGCACGGAAAGAAATAAAAAACTATGAGATCACATCAATATGTCCCATTTTTGGCTTTCACATTCATGTGGACACTTGACAATACCAAAAATCACTGGTAGCATAGAAGTAGATCTCAACTGTATTGACTTAAACTTCTCAATGCTCAGGTGTTAACACATGTATGTACACAGAAACCAAGATTGTGACAGATGGACTAAAGAACATCAATATTGATCCCTTTTCCAGACATGTTTCTGGCTCCACCATTGTGCAAAGGTGCAATTGGTGAGGGCAAATCCAAGCCACTCCCCAGACAATTTTTCCAATGATCAATGGTGGGAAATGACCTATAGACCAGAGCTGACTTGCTTCCTGGTTGTCTCCAAAAATAAATAAATAAATAAATAAAAATCAAAGCATCATAAGATCCTGCCCTTTGATGATGTTCAGGACATAAGCCCTGCCAAGTTCATTAGTGTGATCCTACAATAGAAATTCAGTGTATGTGTGGCTTCATGGAGGAAAGCATTAACACAGTCACTGCCAGGTTCTAAGTGGTCGGCCAAGAGTCCTCTTGCCAAGCATTTTAAAGGTATTAAGAAAACTTCACAAATTATTGCAAATAAATCTTTAAAACCATTTAAGGAAAGCACATGCACAGCATACTTTCACAAATGTCTTCACAATACCTACACTATATAGCAGGGGTGGCTGAATTGTGGCTCTCGAGCAGATCAGGTGTGGTTTGTGGTCAGTGCCATATCAAGGGGGATGCGAGTGGTGTGCTTGGACAGGGCGCCAACTTGAGGGGGCACTGATTGGCTGCCAAATCATTACAAAATATGAATGAAATTTTTAAATAAATTGCAAATTACCCTGAATCTAACTAAATTAAACAAATAAATTAATAATGTATTGTTGGCACTGGGGAAGCTGGAGAGGTATGGAGGGGGGGGAGGGTGCCACTGGATTGATATCTCACACAGGGTGCCAAATATCCTCTGTATCTGTAAGCATTTCACCATGAGCTGCAGCTCATGGCGAAATGCTTTGAGACTCAAGCAGGCATTTCAAACTTGTTTTGCTGTGCAGGTCTCATCACCAAGTTTGGACCTCTCTGTGGCTGAAAGTGTAAATTCACAGAGTGAAAATCTACCACAACCTTATATTGTGTACATTGGACCTAAAACATTTCTCTCAGTGTACATTGAGAGCATTTGCAACCTGCATATGGCGTGTGGGCTGAGTTTGAGACCCCTGCTCTAGAGTCTACACATGCACTCTCTAAAGCAGTGGTCCCCAAACTTTTTGAGGCAAGGGCCACATGGACACATTTGTCCACTTTGAGTGGGCTGTACTAGTAACATTAGTCAACCTAGAGCGGGCTGCATTGAAAAAGATCCAACATTTCTGCATGGTTAACTCTTTATCTGGCCATCGATCTCATTGTCAAGCTACTCTAAACTGGGAAGTCCCATTTAAAACAAGTTGGGCAAGCCCAGTCCAGTAGTGGGCCTCCTTTCAGTTAAGGAAACCCTCATTTTGTCACCTAATTGTGCAAAATGCCATCTCTTTCCGGTCTTTGACCATCAAAAACCTCATTTCTCATTTATATTTGGTAAAAATAGACAAATGGTGCCCATGGAATGATGACGGGACACTGGAGGGCTGTGCATGGTTGGATCCATCCACCATGAAGGTTGGTAGGGAACTGACAGCTCTGGATGCTGACATGGTGCCAAGCTCAAAGTCTGGGTTGTACACACATGCGCATTGTGATCTACATCCTGAAGGGCTGATAGGTACTCATGGCTTCCCCTTGGTTATGCCATGCCAATTTGGTGCAAATTCACCACAAAACAAACTCAGTCTGTATCTTGTTCATATCTACCTGCTTGCCAATTTTCACATTGATCAGACCAATATTTTTTTAGTTATCGTCGGAAAACCAAAGTGTGACACACGGATGGACAGGACGGGACTATAAGTGGTCTCTTTCCTTTCAGGAAAGGGGGCCCACTAAAAATGAGCAGCAATTGAAAACTGCTTATTCCTACCACATCCACACACACTTCCACCTCTCTTAATAACAAAAACTGCTACTACATGGAGTCAGGGCTTATGTAAATGCATAGATTCTAGGTGCTGCTTTGTTGCAGGTTGTATTTTCAATAAATACTTCTTTCTTTCACCTTAACTTGCAACCTTCACTTGCGAGGAAATACATTTTTTCCCTGCAGTATATGGAGGTCCCGAATGTTAGCCATTTAGTAGGTGCACACCAAAATACATAAGCAGCTAAATGTAAACAGGTATTATATGTACCTAAATATCTAAGCAATGACTAAATTTGTTAGTTTTCAGCGAAGGATTCAAAATCTGGAAATGAAAAAATTGTTAACTGCTATTATTCATAAGTGCTGATAAAACAGTTAAGTGTGAAAAAGTCAATTATTAGTAAGTCATAGTGGGCCGCATGCTGCCTGCAGGCCACACTTTGAATACCACTGCTCTGAAGTCTAGAGAATGCATGAGTAGTGTACAACTTGTGGCTCTCAGCCCTATGAAGGTTTTGTGATGCAGTTCATAAGGTCAGGAAGTTTGGCCACCCCTGCTATATAGTGAATACATGAATAGCATTTTCCATATATGAATGCTTTAGTACTAGATAGCAATGAATAGCAGTCAAGGTGCTAATTAGCATTTCAATCACTGTACTCCTGAACCCATGTGGAGCTATAAGTGTTATGCATGGTTTTCTCTATATTTCCCTGTCCATTTGAATGCTGGTCTTAGGTATGAAAGCAACTATAGGATCATGGCTTCAAAACCCACCTCGATGAAACAGAATTTGATTCACTCACACAAGATAGAACAAGATCCACAATGTCAACATACAGTTGGTGTCCATCTACTGGGTGGCCAAAATCAGTGAACCTTACCCACAGCTTGACATACTCCTACTAATCTCAATGGTCATGAGTTGAAGCCAGCTATTGGAGTGCATCTTCTCACTTTCGTGCATCTGTGTCCAACAGACACTATATAGAAAAAGAAAATAATCTGATAATATTCCAACCAGAGGATTACACTCTGGAAGATGTTTTCAAAAGCCTCTCTCACCTGGAAAACATTCTGGCAGAGTGCCTCTCATTTCTTCTGCTCTGTGAGGTCAAACCAAAAAAACATGGCATTGTCTCAATGACCCCATATTTGCTCAGAAAGGTTTCCACTCTATGGCTTCCTCAGGCAGAGGGAAAGAAATCACAGGGCAGTTGGAGAAAAGTAATACTCCACTGCATGCAACTGACCATGCATGCCCTCATCAAGCCAGGCCAAGAGAAGAACTGTGAAACATGACAAGGCCATAATGATAAAAACTCAATTTTTAATCCAATCAAAAATGCAATTCTCTCCTCAACAAACTCATCAAATAAGAGTCTTTCTTTTTAAAGAACAATAGAGTGAAAAATGCCAGTCACCAAAAAAATGCCATCACAACACACACACCCACATACACACTAATGTGGACGAGATCGCATCACAGTCTGTTCACAGGTGATAGGGAAATACCATGATAAGATAAATAGAAGGCACAAAGGGGATCATCAATCTGGACTGAGACCAACATCAAGAGCCATCATGGTGAGGAACCCAATGACCACCATGATGCTGCTCAATCGACCATTCCCACTGAAAATGAAAACAATTAACATTGACAATCCCACTGAAAGGAATATTATACAAGTTGACAAAATGATAAAGAAATAAAAACCTGTCAGATTTAGAAACAGGTGCCTCAGTGTGGTACTACAACTGAAATTGACATGATTTAGATAAATGTGTTAGATGCAGGCTCATTCAATTTATCTGACACATTTTAGGATCAAGTTCATGCTGTTACTTGGCTAATTGCAAAATGGTGACTGATTCATATATTTGGTGAAGACACAAAGGAGAGTAATTACAGTACATTGGAGTACATGGTAACTTTGGGACTGACTACATAGGCTGTGGTGTTAAGGGATTAGGACAGGGGAACCACTTTTCCTCATGATATTTGAATGAAGACCGATTGGTGTAGTGGGAAGATCAAGGATGAGAAATCAAATATTGAGTTTTTCTCATAGGAGTGTACACGGGTAATGGCTTATCAATATTGATCACTTTCCTCACACATAAACCCAGGGTTACTGGGAAAATTAAAAAAAAATTTATCCACCTCTGAATTCCCGAGTAAGGAAAATATCCAATTTTTGCCTCAGGAGATGATTAACATAGCTTCAAAAGTCAATGAGAGCAAGGAGGTTCACAGTGCAGGCTAGAAAGATAGACAGGAATACTTCAAAAATGAACTGCAGAGGCCATGACATGCCTGGCACCTGGCCACACTTGCACTAACATCTGGCTCTCCCCCTTTTGTGTTTTCAAGGAAGATCATTAGTATCAACCCCCCCCCCCCATAAAAACCTATTGATGATTGACAGCACCAACTGTGCCACAATGGTGGCTAATAATGATGGTTGCTAGTGTCTTGGTACACTGATATTTTGGAAGAATATAAGTATATAAGCAATCCCAAAAAAAGTAAAAAACTAAATAGAGCTGAGTAGTGTAATGCAGCAGAGAATGCTCAAAATGGAGTGAGATGCCATCTTGACAAAATCAAAATGGATGAATGGGGCAGGATGGCACCCCAGCTTCCCCTGAAGTATGTCACAGTTTCAAATGAATATCAATTAGCACAAACAAGTGCACAATACTTGTGCAGGATTGTCCCAGATGGGACAAGTATAAAAGTTACTGAAGGCTTGCAGCATCTCCACCCCCAGCATGGAAGTGATATTACAAAAGAGAAACTATTCCCAGTCATCTCCCTCTAAGAAAAACTCCCATTTCAAGCCCTGAGAAGAGGTAGATCTAGAACTGAAATCAGAAAATATTACCTTCATTTATAAATATTCACTGGTAAAGTCACAAAGTCATGCTGACCTTTTAGCACTACCAGGTTTGGTGGGTGAGTGGTTTTCAAACCCAAACTCAGAAAGGGGGATTGAGTTCAGGTAGTGGCAGAATATTTTTCCACTGACAGGTAACCCCTCTGCATTCATGGGGCATGTCTGCTTAGCATGAAAAACACTTATGCCACTCTGTGCCATGACAAGGAGATACAGGTGTAGAACATATTAAAAACTGCCCTTTCCAGTCGTGCAATTGTCAGTCATAAGCAACTCAAGAGTTCCCTCTCAGGCCTACTAAGGCACCATAACATGGTGTTCCAGTCTATGGGACTGTAATCTTGTTTGTGATGCCAAGGGCTGGTAGGCACCCCTTCCTCTCTGTGTATTGCAATATATCAACAGTTGTACTGTTCTGCTGCATGTCATGTCTTGCTTTATTGATAAAGAAAGGATCATTTAGCTGGCTAACATGGATCTTGCAATGGTGTCATTTCTCTCTGACTTCTTCTATAGCAGCTGGTTTTACTAAAACATTGGTCATGTGAGATTTCCAGTTTTGGCACCCATTGAAATAAAGCAAACTCTCTGTACTTCACTGCCTTTTGGCTTCTAGACCAACCCATATCAAATCACACAGCCCACTAATGAAACAAAGGAGAGGCTAACCATGTCTGGGCTTCAGGGATGAGATCATCAACTACAACATAAACCATAGCCCCAGCTGCAAAACCCATAGCATATGGGAGCCACTTATGAGCAGAGCCAACAGCCCATGCACCAAGGACCCCTGCAAATGGTTCCACAACTCCACTCAGTTGCCCATAAAAGAAGCTTTTCCACTTGGACATCCCTGATCCATGGAGTGGCAAGGACACAGCCAAGCCCTCTGGAAAGTTTTGAATCCCAATTCCCCAGGCCAAGTTTCTGCATCAAAAGATTACCAGTGCATAGTTTATTGGGCAAAGAATTCTCAAAATCATTAAAACAGCTAAAAATTACAATTCCCAAAATCCAAATACAGTGAAAACTCATTAACTCAAACTTTAAGGGACTGGGAAAATCATTTTGAGTTATCCAAAGTTCGAGTTAGCAGGAATCACCCCCGCCCCCCAAAAAAAACTCACATTAAGGGACATAGGGGACAGAATGGCTCGGAGTGAGAGCAATAGCTTGACAGCGCAAATGTTGGAGGCTTTTTTATAAAAAAAAAAAACAAAAGAAACAAAAGAGCATCCTCCCGAACGGGTTTCTTGTCATTCATTCTATTCAAAATTTGAAAAGTCCCACGAGAAGAATTTTTCCCCCCTTCTCACCCTGAGTTTGAGTTAACAGTGAGAAAATTGTTATAGGGAGTGAAAATTTCATTCGAGATATCCGGAAATTCAAGGTAAGTGAATTTGAGTTAAACAGAGCTTTTAACATGGTGTCCTATGGGGTTCTGCCGGGACCAAGCATTGAACTTCGAGATAAGCGGAATTTCGACTTATCAAGATTTGAGTTAATGAATTTTCACTGTACAAAACTTATTCCTTTTTTAGATTCTTCTTTACTCTTTTGTTGAACCAAGAGTACAGGTACATGTAACAAACCAAAGATAGGGTCTACAGCTATGTACACCAGTAACATTGTTACCTTGCATTCTCAAAAGTTGCAGAAGCTGTCTGGTTCACTGCTCCAAATCCAACTCCCACAGCTAAACCTTCTGTAACAAATCCAACAACATACAAGACGACAGTTTTTTGTTGTTGTAGGAAGATCAGATGTCCCAGTTTTTACAGGACAATTCCAATTTTAAAAACTCTCTCCCAGTTCACATGCTGTCTTGGTTTTCAAGCCTCATACCTCAGAACTCAAAAATGAAAACACCATTACTGCATACCATGCTGTGCAAATTTCTCTTTCTTTCTCTCAATGTCAATTAATGTTAATGTCAAGAAGAGAAAAGAAACTGCTGTGAGATGGAAAAAAAAGCATTTTCCCACTTCTCACAAAATATTCTTGACAACTTCAAAAGAGCTTTTGATCTGGCTTCAAATCTTTCCAGAAGAAAGTCTCTTTTTCTCTAACAAATAATTTTGTGTGGACTGATGAAAGTTTCAGCAAAAAACATGTGATGCAATACAAGATATACTCTCAGAGAACAGATTTTTTGCTAGGTATCAAAGACTTCCATGAGAACTAAAAAACAAGCATTGGGCATAGAAAAATCTTCAAATTAGGTATGAATGTATTCTGCAGATTGAAAAAAATCTGGCCAACCAATTCTGTCACTTAAGAGAGGAATTAATGTGAACAGAAGTTGGGTTGAGATATCTCAAGGAGGTATTTACCAGGGATATTATGAACTGTGATGGCAAGGATAAGAAGAAGAATTCTCCTCCATCTTGATTGGTCCATCTCCTTCCTCCTATCATCTTCTCGAGTTGAAGACAAGTCCATTCTGACCCAGTTCAGCTCCACATCATGCACTTCTCCTTTTACATATTTCACATTAACAGCATTATTATAGAGGCACCGAGTAAAGCCAAACTAGATGACAAAAGTCAATAACACACTTGAAGAATATGTCATTTGGGAAGAATCTCCTTCCTTCTCCCATTTCCGTTCAGTTTGCAAGGCTGGATAAAAGAATGAATCAAAGCCTATGGCAAAAAAAGACTGAATTGATTATTTCTGCCACAAAAGGTGAATAATACACAGACCTAGATTAATGGCTGGGTCTCCTGTAGTGCCCAAAAATGGCAAAAGGATATCTGACAGGAGCACAAATAAAGCTCCAAAGAAGAATCCAACAGTGGCTGGAAGAAATCCTTCTCCAATTTCAATTGCTGGCTCCAACAGGGACCAAAAGGATGCAGCCAGCATCACCTGTAGTTCAATTTAATAAACAATCATGTGAAACACCAGGCCTCATATGATGGTAAAGGTAAACTTCAGAAGATGAAGGAAAGGCCTGGACTCACACCAGCTGCAAAGCCTAGACTCCCATCTAAGATCTTCCTCTGCAAAATCAACCATATATATTTGATCAGTAATATAATAATGAAATGATACAATTGTTACCTAACCAAAGAAATCACTTCCTCAAAGGATGCTGGAAAAAAAATGCACAAGACAAAAGCCATGTCATCCCAGAAGACTTGGTTGCATATTAAGAAGAGAATTCCACTGGACTTAAAGGGTTATTGCTAATGTCTGAATTGAAATTTTAATGTTTCTCAAAAGGACTATACAGTAAGCTTGCAATGCTTATGGTCCTTTTTCACTTGCAATAATTCAGAAAGTAATGCTAGAATAGAGGCCACGTCCCAATATGTCATTTCATTTACTGCCCTCTGATGCCCTAGATGAAAAATTATTGATGAACAGCTTATAAATCCTTCAGCCCTGACAATAAATCAATAGACTTTAGTCATCATGAGATTTTCTCACCTTGGGACTCTTTGAGGAAATAAGGAATGTGGCTGCAGCACCTGCACCAGTGAGGAACCACGTCATTAAGGTCGCAAGAAAGGCCTGAAATACTGCATCACAGTCTCGTATCATTCTGGAATGTTCTCATTCATCCCAGGAGTCTCCTGACTTTTAAATCACAGCGCCTGTTAAAAGGATAATCGCAATTAACTGTGCAAAGACTATTTCACGTCAAATGAGCGAGTTGCTACTTTCTCTGGCCTTACATCCTACTGTACAAATATTGCCGGGGCTCCAAAAACAGTATAAACTAGCACAGGCCCTGACTTCTAAGGCGGGCCTATAGCCTTGGGAATAGATCATCTGAGCATATGCCTACTATGGTAGAAAAAGGTCATCCAGGCGGTCATAACCTCTTAAGAAAATGTGGGATGATCGTTAGTATATTTATATAAATAACTCAGATTATGTTGCCAATCCGGACATTATAACCAAGAGATTGGAAGGTGTAAGCCAACCAGAAGAGAAGCGAGCACGTGGCCATTGAACCAACATACACTTGCTACCTAGTGAACGAATGAGAAATTATGTTTTGTTAATGTGAAGATAGAGTGCGCTCCCAGCCCGCCTCCTTCCAAGGATCTTCCCTCTTCCTTCCCTGACATTGACACAGATCCAGGCTCTGCAAGGTAACAAACGAAGTAGTTTCGCAACCCTCGTTCTTTTTCTTCTCCCCCTCTTTTCTCCTTATCCGTCTCGAGGCACCCACGAAGAATGCAGAGATGCCACCAAATACGCATCTGTTTACCATCGGCCAATTTTCCACCTTACGATCACGCATGGCCGGTGGCTTTGCCAAATGTCTGAGTCACTCGTGCCAGCCAAGTCTAAACATAGGTGGAAGCTACATTGACCTAAAAATAGCCCACCATCTCTTCCCCCCACAGAGAGAGTTGAGAAGAAAGGAAGAAAAGATCACCATCGTCTTCTCTCCCGTGTCTTCAAGTACCAGGATGGATTCACCTGACCCCGTCATCCCTTGGAGGTACTTCAACTGGAAAATCATTCACATTTTCCCTCTTAACTTTCCCTCCCCCCTCCCCTTGGTATTTACTCGGTGTGTATATTCGAAAGACCCTTTCTCTCACACTGGAATGTATGGGATACCAGGTTCATCCGTTGCACTGACCGATCCGGTTCGTCGCCTTCTTCTTCTTATAAGGCAAATGTAAATCACTCCTTTCTTTTTTTTCATCCCTCCAACGGCTCTTAGAGGTGTACCAGGACTGAATACAGGGCATTACAATGCGATCCCAGGAACCAATCAGTGACGACGTATCCGATCCGCCGTCATTCTTAGGCCACCATTTCCCTTCTGAAATAATCAATGAATGAATCACAAAAACAAGTTTCAAGATGGTCTAAATGCGGTCGATAAGGGCACTATGACTACGATACAAAAAAAAAGAGGGGAGTAAAATGCGTCATGGGTGAGGTTGAGTCACGCATTTCCCCTTCGGGCGTACAATGACGTCATCGGACTCGACAGAACAGTCCTCTGTCTCTCATCTCCTTTCCATTCCGTTCCCATCTCTCTACCCAGCCGTATCGGATCGAATTGGTAGTGCCGCATCAGTTCGTGTGCAGTGGTGCATGTCATGTAAATCGAAGGGTAGCTAATGGCCAAGGCAAATGGAAGGGAGAATGGGAAGCCGGACTTGAACGACCCGGAGGTGAGGAAATTGGTCTACAACATGTACCGTGGGATCCTGGGATCGTACAACGATAAAGCCAACGACATGCTCGAGAGTCTGCCGCAAGGACCCAATGTTAAGGTCCTACAAGATCGAGGCATCACCGATCAAATCATCAGCATGGCCAACGACTCCTGCTTGTATGTCCCTTCATTACCCTTTCAGCTCACTGGCACTATGAAACTCACCGCAAGCTTCCATTCTATCCTATCAATCGTGCATGTTAAATATTTTGTTAAGTTCCCCTAAGGACTGCAGCGTCGAGTAATTCTATTTCACGGGGTATCAGTGGGCGCATTCAGGTGAGACCCGAGTCATGACTCGAGGGTCTCAGTTCAACGCTTGCATTGAGGTTTCAAAATAAATTTTACTCCACAGTGACACCTCTTGTCAATATCATCAATCCTGGGTATAATGGTTTTTTGAAAAGCATCGCACCTGCCGAGAATCATGAACCTCGAGTTATGACCAGGGTCACAGCTGTATGCGTCCAGTGTCAGCAGGATTCTTCTGAATCTTAGGAATAAATATTTTTTGTCCGGTCTAATGAAATGAGTTTAATTTCTTCAGACATACATGTACGAAAGTACTACTACGATACTCGATATTCAACGAAACGCTCAACTAAAAGTTGTAGGCTCCCCAACATGACACTAGAGACCCGGGGCCATATCTATCCATGTCTAAGACTGCTTGGCAAATCTTAGACTTATCCTAGACCTATTCGAAGGGTATTGCTCAACTTCGGTCATGCGTTTGATTGGGGTAAACACCAGCCAAGCTCTTAGTTAAGAGGGAAAACGCTCTCGAGCAAATAATAGAATACGACCCCTGTACTATAAAGTTTGCATCCTTTCTCTCAACAGAGGAGACTGAAATCTTACGTTCACAAGGTTTTACATTTACGAAGTAAGGTCAACATTTCTTTGTGTCTTTATTTTCGTTCTTTATGTATCATATTCGATGAGAACAGTTTCAATTCAAGCGAGGTCGCATGGACGAGGTTTCGCCCGTGAGCGAAATTTCGTTCCCAGTAACCGTCCGGCGAGGAATGGAAAGGCCGAGGACCCTGGCCGGGGTCACGGTGAATGGTCCCCACATTCAAATGTGAGGGAAAGAAAAATAAAAGACCAAGGATCTCAACGAGAACAAGAGAGAGGGGGAAGGAGGAAGGGAGGGAGGGAGGGAGGGAGAGAGAGAGAGGAGGAAAGATTGCATCACTTGTGAATGTCTTGGGTACTTGAGAGTCCTTGGAAAGCATAGCCCTCCGGCCCCATCTCTTCATCTTTCCTTCCCCCTCCTCCCTTTTTCTACATGGACTTCCTCAATCTGTGTTATCAGGAGACAACAGAGCAGCGGTGGATCGGGATCACCGGGAGTGGGTGGGCCTGTCCCACCCTCCGCCCCAACCCCAGCCCCACCACCTCCACCTCCTCCTCCACCCGGCAACAGAGTTCCACCTCCACCCAGGATGCCGCCACCCCCCTCCAACGTACGTGCCCCCTCCCTCTCTGCCTTACCGGTACCCTAAGTGGCCTTGGTAACACAAAGTATTTATTCTGCGCATGCTTCATTTCGAAGACAATGATGCTAAATGATACTATTCAAGAACTATTAATACAATGCATTAATGTCTAGGACATAAAGTACCGGTGCTCACTATATGCATATTGAATGTATATTGGGGGTCCTAAGGGCCAATCCTCCTGCATTTCTTCCTGCACAATATTTGATGTTAAAAATGTTCGCATTTTTGAGCAATGTACCCTCAGGTTCATCATAAAATGTCGAAACTGTCAAGTAAAAATAACACGTAGAACATCTAGGAACTAGAGTTGAGCAAAAGGTAGTATTTTGACGTACAAAATAAGCAGTGACCTGCACTTGGTTTGATTTGTATTCATTTTGAATGATGAAATCCAATAAGATGTCAAAAAGATCTACTTACTGGTGGGTTACAAGCATCTTTCAAATGTAATATTTATTCAAGGAGTAGTCAATGAAAGAGGAGGGGCACATACTTATTCAAGATTGGCTGAACGTCGCCTGGCGAGAATACCAACGTTGGGCCGATGTTGACCCCAACGTAAGCGTCCCACGATCAGGGTCAGTGAGAGATAGCTATGTTGGATCAAACATCGCCAAACATTGCCATTGTTGGCCAAACTCTGATACCATATTCATTCATCGAATTCGTATTGCATTACTCTAAAATTTATGTTTTTTTATAGTCCTCGAGCAATCGTCTGCACTCACATTTTACAAGATGGAATATTTGCATTCCTCATAAGCTAGATCCCTATGGTTTACCATAGGGATTGCGCATCCTGTCGGGAACCACTGCGACTGTCGCAGTTCGTATCGTATCGATTGCCAGGTTGAAACACGACCGTCACAACCCTACGCAGTGAATGCGCCAGCAACGATGGGAGAATTCACTCGGCGCTGGAGCCAGTTCTTCCTCTGGCTGATTCCAAAACTGCACAGTGGCGTAGGCAGGAAATCGGCAAGGGGGGGGGGGGGGTGGGGGGGGGGGGATTCCTTGGGTCTGTGGACGGACATCAGACTATCCTCGAAGGGGCATAGCTAAAATTGGAATTCCCAAGGAAGGTTGAAATATGCCTGTCAGTGTCACCGACCGGGAAGCCCCAGGGGGGGGGGTTCTAACCCCCTAAACCCCCCCCCCCCTTCCCTACGCCACTGAAACTGCAGTCCAGACTGAATCTGAATCTGAACTGAAGCTAGAACCGAACTGCGACTGAACTGCTGTTTTGAAATCAACCTCTGTCAACCTAATGTACTTTAATCCCCCAAATCCTGTTTCCTTGTTCTCCAATCGCAGCAAGATATCCAGGCTCCATGAAAAAAAAAGGATTGAACGGATTTAAGCTGAAATTGCGCTTTCTCTGCTATCCAGGCTTGAAGGAATGATTATCCAATTATAAATATGGATTCGAAATTTGTAAACTGGAAATTTGTAAGCTCATATATAGAAGCCTTGGCCAATAAAGCATTGATAAAATAAACTATAGTCCAACATGTTTTGAATACCTCTACAACCAGTCTCGACATGTGCGTGTAACTTGCATAATGGTCATATGAAATGTATACTACAAGGTTTAAAACTTGTGTAGCTGCAACAGGACCTCATTATGTTGCAAAACGTTGCATAGTGCACAGCCAACAGTCTTTTAACGTGAAATGATAATGGGTTTGCGCCATTAGCGGGTAAGCTATTCGCGAAGCTGAAGAGTTAATTGCCATCCTAATGTCAACTGTAAGCTATGCGATGAAACGGAAGTAAACCGGTACCACTTCCCGTTCTGGTCGACCAAAGAAAATCGCCCCTAAAAGCAGGACACTGAAACCTGATATAATAAGTAACAAACTAGCCTCGCAGACATATGACAAGCTATACAAGAAGCTACAGGGATATAATGGTCTGTGATTCAACGGCATCCAAGAGTTTGGATATTAAATTCGAGGACCAACAGCATATCGATCCCAGTGGACCTAACCCTACGTTACCCCCTTAGTACTGTACAATCTTGTGAAAGAAATGTGTGTATGTAGGGGGGGGGGACAGCGTTGAAATCTTCTAATTTCGGCGTCCATTTAATTAGCTTCTTTTAATGTCCTTTTACTGCGCTTCTCATAACTGACGGCTTGTCGCCCTTAGGTGTTCACCATGTTCGCCTCTTCAGTATTCTGACCCTGTCTGACACTAGGTCATAGACCAATGGCAGAAACAATTTTGGTTTCGCCTTGTACAGTTCCAAGCATTCTACACTGTACCAGTGTAGGGTGGTCCATAGTATACCTTTTTCCCCTGGAGGCTGATCTTCGCGTCCAATGAATTAAACTATGCAAATATATACACCTATGGAAAGCCTGGACGAGATCTTTCGGTTAAGCCTATTTTTGCTGCAACATTTCTCATTTGGGTGATCCATTTTCCTTAAATTCGAACCCTTTTTTTTACCTTTACAACGGGTTTTTAAATACATGAACTCAATGCTCGGTCAACTCTCCATTTATCTCATAGACCTCCTCCCAAGGAGCTCTCAACTAAAAGGTGATCGGAACCAAATTTTGCAGAATCGAGCAGATCACTTCTTCGATCCGCTATTTGATGTTTTGCTTGTGACAGTTGTTGAAACCAGCATTGTGTCGGTCTTTTAACATTTGAAGGGATTTGAAGATTTACTCAGGATGTCGATTCTACAGTTGATTACTTCAGCTTTTTGGCGGACCCGTTGGGCTAAGACCAAAATCTTGTTTTCAAGATTTAAAAGAAAGGGTTAGGGACTTCAAATAAATGCACATAACATCGTCCAGAAGAGAAAATTTTCAGCAAATAGACTCAATCGGGAGATCTCGTCCAGGGCTTCTCCATAATGTATAATATGCGTAGTTTGCTCCATTGGGCGCAAAGACGGAGCCTCTAGGAAGAACAAAAGGTTTACTATGGACTGCCATGTGCATTAAGTCCTTGGGTCTGGCAGCGTGGATTAGTGAACATTAGACATGGAATTCTTGTTTGCAGGAACCACCAGCAGCAATCCAGAATGCCATGATGAAGGATAAGAAGCCTTTTACATATACACCAGGCGGTCTAGACCTCATCTCTCAGATAAAGAGTCCTCGAATGCAGAAACGTGTTCAGAGGAACCTGGACAACCAGGGACTACCATCGCCACCTCCACAGCTGCAACAGACAAATCCTCCTCTCCCTACACCCGTATCTACTGCTGCATCTATTCCAATGACACAAGTCCCTGTCCTTCCTCCGGTGCCTGCTTCCTTCCCGAGGGGACTTCCCAATCAAGTCGGCCCTTCGTCATCCTTCAAGAGAGAACTGCAGCAACCAAAGCAGCAGCCACCATCTCCCCAGCCACAGATGAGATATGTGGAGCCACCATCTCCCCAGCCACAGATGAGACAAGTTCAGCCACCATCTGCCCAGCAACTGATGAGACAAGTTCAGCCACCATCTCCCCAGCCACAGATGAGACAAGTTCAGCCGTCATCTCCACAGTCGCAAATGAGACAAATGCAGCCTCAGTCTCCTCAATCACCAGTAAGACAAGTTCAGCCTTTATCTCCTCCACTCCAGACATGACAGGCACATCTCCAGTCAAGCTTAAGTGCTCAAACCCCCTCCTTAATGAATCTCGTTTATTGTCTTTTAGAATGTGGTTCTCAATGGAGGAGGTAAGGGGGGGGGGATTGGAGGTCAATGGTAAGGAATTTCCTTCCTTGCAGTCTTTTAGCTCAAGAATACAGGTACAGTCAACTCTCGATATAGCGCCACTGTTGGTCATTGCCGATTTTGGCGCTATAACGAGGGTGTCTCTATATCGAATTAACTATATCCTGTAGTATACGGGCTTAGGAGGGAGATTGGTCAAATAGATGAGGTTGGCGATAAGCGAGGGTGGCGCTATATCGCGAGGCGGTATAACGAGAGTACTTCTATTGGTAGACATGGTTTAGAGGGGATATAAAATGCTGAATACAAATGATATTCCAGTAGGGCGTTTAATATTTTAATTTAGTCTTCCACCGTTGTATACTAAGAGAATACAGACCCTACTTGTATTATTAGACGCAAGCAAGAAATAGAAATATCAACCGAACCAGTGCGCAAATTTCCCAGTTTTGGTCGGTCATAGATCTACTGCTTTTTCCTTAACAACCTAAAGACGAAATTCATTAGAACTAATTAGAATAATAAAGTTAACAGGTCTTCAAAGCCGAATACCCAACGAAATTCAGTATTTTTAAATACCACTTGCTTTTTGCCAAATTAAACATTAAAATTATCAATAAAAATGTAAAATGGTACTGGAAACTGCATTTACCATGTGTGGATGTATCCTGAACGTGCGTTCTTTGATATTTGACTGACTTTTGCGGTAGAAATCAGACGTTAATATCATTGGCTCAGCAGTTTCATAATACCTGTTTTCCTCCAACCTGATTTATATGTTGTTTCGAAGTAAAAAAAAAAATGTCACGAAGCCTGTAAATATCTAGTTGGAAATACTTCTAAATTATAAATGTAAGATATTACATGAAGAAAAGTAGCCAAAGTTTAACAATGATCTAGTTATCATTAGTCAAACTCGCAAAGTGTCATTTTTGAGCTTGAGTCTAATAATATGAGCAGGGTTTGTTATTTAACATGAAACTCCACGGCAATTGAAATATTCGCTCATCTCCCCTCGTCTGATAGTAGTAAACCCTCATCCTAATACTCCTCCAACATATGATATGGTATAAATATCTCCTTTGAATCATAGTCCCCAATGCTTTCAACCTTCAAGATAATAAAGAACTTAATTTTAGGATGTCATGAGGAATTATGCAATTTTAAAAATTATACTTTCTTGATAAGCTGTCATAATATATATTTTTACCGCAGGGACCATTTTGTCCTATTCCTCATTTGGGACCAAAATGTCCAGATCCATATTGTCCTGGATTTGCTGCACACGAGGACTTGTTCTGTTACAAGGAATAACCTTTTTCTCGATTGTCGATATTTTCTCGCATGAGGTAATGATTATTTCACTGGACAATCTGACAACCCTGGTCTCACCTTCAATGTATCCCACTTTGGTCTCTTTGACCTACCCATTCCGCTCAACGGCATTCAAACCTTTATCAATCCTTTAAATCTATCAGCATTCTCTGCCCGGGATCCCATGAGACCTTCTCATTTGACTGGGAAAGTAAGAAAAACCACTATCTATAGCACATTTAATTCAGCAGATAGTCGATCACCTTCTCCAGTGATTTTTAAGCAATGAATCTACTGTGACAATATCATGGGTACCAGATGTGTGATTGGCAATTAATGATGAATTTAAATATGCGTAATTACAAAATTATTAAATTACATAAGGCATCGCATGAAGTTTCCTTCAACCAGGCCATTTGAAAACGAATCCAGGAATTTTTATGACGCCCAACAGTAGGTCAGAGAGAGATAGGGCAGGTGATAAGAAGCCCTAGGGGTTCTAGTTTAATTAAAGGGGGGGGGGGAGGTAAAACCGTCCTTAGAAAAGGTCGGTGGGGTTGGGGTCGACTGGGATGTGTCTGTCATGAGACAACAACCACCTTCACCTGGAATGTAACTAAAATAACAACAATTTCCCACCCTATATCAGCAACAACCACTTTTGTCCCAGATGCACATGAGACAACAGCAACAGCAACAGCAGCAGACATCAGCATCATACAATAAGCCCCAACCCCAAGCATTCAAGTCAGGATTCAAGACAGTTCTTCAGAATCAACAGGAACCAACTCCTCCTCTGCTGCAGCAACAGCAACCAAGCTGGTCATCATTATTTCCTGAAGAGCCAGGACCTAGGGTCCATCGTGTTCCAGTCTCTATAGCCAGAGATGAGAGAGATGCAGCACCATCTGCTGAAGGGGCTCTGTACATCCCCCCCATCCAAAAGACAACACCCACATGGATGCAAAGTGGCCCAGCACGGGCACAAAGGCAGCAGTTAGATGCAGTGGAGATTCCAGTGCAGGTAGTCCGCACTTCCAATAAGCCTGGGTAAATACCTAATATGGTCACTATTTAACAGTGTTATTCCAGCAACAAAGCTAGGAAACGATGAAGTCCATGGAATTTCTTTGTAGGAGATCTGGGGGATCTGAGAATCCACAAATGCATTCAGGAGCCTTCCGCCTGCTTCAACAAATGACAGCAGATTATGCTGACCCTCGTGAGTTCGACTTTTCTCAATCCTCAAAACTTTCCCAATAGAGGTAATGTGCCCTATTGCCAAGCCAATTATGAGTTCATTGGAAAAGAAAGTTTGGTCACAGGCATTTCTCTCAAGCCCTCCAAGCAGGGGGAGATGCAACACATAAAACTAGTCATTCCAGTTCTGTTCATTCAAGAATAAAACAAAAAACAGCCTTGAGCATGGGCTGATTGATTCATGGATTGATGGCCATCTGTTCTCCCCTAACAGGGGAGGAACCAGTGCTTCAAGGTCTGGAGAGAGTCCAGCTCTCTGATGATGACATGAGACTCCTTAATCACGTCAGACAACATGGTCAGTTTCCTATCCATCAGCATGATAAATCAGAAAGATTGCAACTAGAAGGGAATGGTGATTTCTCAAAAATTTTCAGAGGAAGAGGAGAAGCACCTGCATGACCAGGAGACAGATCCTCGGTATAGAGGGGCATACATCCCTTCCAGAGCCTTCCGAATGCTTCAAGACATGACTGCCACTGGTAAGACTTCCCTCAACACCCTTGCAGTTCTCAACTCTTCAGCTCAATTTATTCAAGCATCTCCTTCTTTCACTTCTTGAACCATCAGGGCCAAGAGGAGGACATCATTGAGGATGAAGGACATCACAAAATCCTCAATGAGGCCACAACATGGGCAACTGGAAAAAGATTATTGCTCTTTGGATTTTTTCTGAATGCCATTTTTTGTGTTGTGACAATGAGGTGTTAATAAATACCATCTGGAAGTCAAGATCACTGACATGGTACTACACATTCACTCTCTCAAATCTCATTTATTTATTCTCATGAGACTCCTGATGTCAAGTAGGCTCTCTCTTCCACACATCATATATATGTCTATCTTTGCTTGAGGAAGACAGACAAAAGATACAGGCTGGCAGAGGGAAATGCCTAGGGCTAGACAAACCTCACAGAATGGGCATTATTCATCCCTGTAGATCCAACTTCATTCTTTCTCATGTGCTTCTCACTTACGTGAATATTCAGCATTGAGAGCACGGCCAATGACCATTCGACGGACCTCACTTGTCCCTGCCCCAATTTCATAAAGTTTGGCATCTCTGAGGAATCGACCTGTTGGGTAGTCATTGATGTACCCATTTCCTCCTATCAGACAGATGAAACACAACAGTTTAGCACTGACTAGCAAATCCATGCATCCATCAAAAGAAAATTTGTCACAAATAAGCAATTACCAAGGCATTGAATGGCGTCAAGAGCAACCTTGGTGCCTGATTCAGCTGAGTAGAGAATAGCAGCTGCACAGTCTTTGTTTGAAATGTGCCCATGGTCACATGCTCGGGCAACAGCATAGGTATAACAGCGGGCTGCATTCAGTCTTGTGTACATGTCAGCAATCTTCCCCTACAATACACAGCCAAAACCATCAGTTAAACATTTGAAGAGGAGATTCCTGACAAAGAGAAAAGTTTACCTGCATGAGCTGAAATTCTCCAATTCTTGTGTTGAATTGCTTGCGAGTATGAACATATTCATATGCCACATCACAGCATGCTTGCATTATCCTAAGCAGAAAAATATGTGTAATACTTGAAAAACACTATGAGATGATCTTAGTGTGAGGTGCAAGTGGTAAACTTACCCAACTGGGCCTGCTGCCAGGATAGCTCTTTCGACATCCAGTCCCGTGAAAAGAACATAGGACCCCTTGTTTACTGCTCCAAGCACCTGAGATTCTAAAAAGCAAATGATCACAAATGGCATATCTCCATTGAGGGCATTTATGAAAAAACCCAATCTGCAAGCTATAGAAAAGAATCACTACACAAGTCACTCACTTGGGATTTGACAGTCAGTGAAGATAAGTTCACAAGTATTAGATCCTCTCATGCCAAGTTTGTTCAATTTTGGACCAGTTGTGAATCCAGGGGTGCCTTTTTCCACTAAGAAAGCTGTGACTCCATGCTGAGGCTTAGCTGCTTTTGGATCTGTCTTTGCATACACCTAGCAAATGCCAATGACCATGCATTCCAATATGACATGTTCAGCTAGGCACAGCATAATGGTCTAGGTGTATAGTCTGGCAAGACTTACAATACAGATGTCTGCATCAGGACCATTAGTAATCCAGAACTTGGAACCGTTGAGGACATAGTGATCACCCATTTCCATTGCTGAGCACTTCATTGCCATGACATCAGATCCTGATTCTGACTCTGACATGGCAAGGGCCCCAATGTATTCACCACTGCAGAGCTATTTCAAATCATTCAAATTAAAGATATTAATACAGGGGAAACAGATTATGGGGGCTGTTCAAAAAGCCCTCACACTGGTTCTGTAATTCCTTCATCATTCTTTGATGTATCACTGCTTTCATGGATATTGTATTGAGTGACAGAAGTGTATGAGCAAAATGTCTAAATCATTGATCTTGATTTGATGTTTTCCTTCAGATTTTGAACTAATCTTGAAAATAATTTTTTTAAGTCACAGGTATTGAGTCTGGACCAATTTTCTCCAAAAAATTTGATGAAACAAAATCGGAAATTCAAAGCATTAACCTTTTGCAGTCCTATGCCAAGTAAAACCAGACATAGCTCAGCAGAAGGTGACTAAGGAAGTCTGCTGCACTTTCACCAGCAGGACCAAGAAAATGGACCACAAAGGGTTACATTCTTCCAAAATTTGGAAAATGCACCAAAGAATTTTACAATATATTGCATGCTGCCAGACTGCTCAATGGTATTCAAGTGTAAAAATGATTCCTACAGGGATGAGCTACCATTGGTTCAATTACCACTTCTGACTGAGGCACAAAACAGCTAAAAACTACTGCATACAAAGGTCATCCCGGAAGATCAAGAACATTTTATTCTTCAAGAAGTCAACAAAGTAAATGCAGCATGATTTGAATTTAGCTTTTTTGACATTGTCTTCATGAAGCTGCACACACTTCTGCAATTGTGCAGTCAGCTTCTTACATCATAAGCTGATGCTACTTGCATAATGTTGGTCATGCACAGGATTTGTCATTTCTGAAAACAGCCAGTATTTACAAAGGATTTGTCCTAGTAAACTTCTTGCAGCTCATGGGCAATCTTAGCCAGGGACTTCTTTATTGGCACAAAAATCAAATCACACCTGCTGTACTCCATATTGTACTTCCATAGTGATACAAAGTTGATCTAATTTAAATTGCTATTTCTCTGCAATATAGAAGAGCAATTATAGGGTTGAATATAATGTACCACTATTAGACATAAATGTGCAAACCATAAAACAGTATTGCCTCCAGAGTGCATTGACAAAATACCCATATGTATTCTTGAACTTTTGGGATGATCCTCCTAGCAAAACCTCACATAACCAAAATAACCTGAGAAACTAGAGAGAAAAACCAATCAGCAATAAATTCTGCTTTTTCCCCTAGCTGAACCTAAGGCAAGATCCCTGTGGCATCTGCACATTTTCATTTTACTGAATGTCTAATGTCAAATGTGCAGCCGAATGTCTATTGTTAGACCATACAATAATGTGTGCGAGCCTGGCCTTCCTGGGCCAGAGGGTTGGCTTCTGTGGGCTAGATCTGGCCCATGGGCTGCATGTTGCCAACCACTGCTGTAAGGACACAAAATCCTCAAGGAAGGCAGATGCTAAAAAAATAAATTTAGGGGTTTCCAATGATGAATGTGTCCAAAAATTGCATTTCCTATTATTACAGAGTATGAAGAGAAATTAATAACTTCACAATACTGCTAATTTGGTCAACAGGACAAAGCTGACTTTGCTATAGTCAAGGTTTTTGCCATAACAAAGCTCACTATAGGCAAGGTATAAATGCACTTACCTTATGAGCTTTAGGCTGAGAACAGGCTTTGTTCATCAGTATAACTGAAGTCTCATAAATCCACTATCACCCAATGTAACTTTAGAGTAACACTGGCTTAGTTAAATTTTATTGCTGAAAGTTCTACTGCTATACTTACTGTGGTCTATCAAAGACTTCAAATCACATTCTGCATACACAATATGCCATGACTTTTCCTTCTGTAGTTCCAAAGATTGTCACCAAAGTTTGCCCAAATCATTGCTTACATATGGTTGACTCTGGTCAAGTTCAAAAGTCCCATAAGTTATGGGCTCAAAGTACAAAATACACTTGTGTTTCACACCATATTAAAATTGCTTCAGAGAGTTTCACATCATTTAAGAAACCTTACATCAGAACAGGATAACAAAGCCCTTTGTCAAGCACTTTTTGAGATACTAAAAGTCAAGTGCTTTTTGAGATACTAAAATCTGAATATTCTAAAAAACATCTGATTCCTATTCCAGTGGTCATCACTCAAGCGCACATTGGTTTTGTCCTAACATTGAGATGAAATTAGTGCCATTTTTAAGTTCCTTTAATGTTTTTTTCTATTATGCATATTTCATGGAGTTCGCATTAAAAATAAAGGTCAAAGGGCAAAAGGTTTGACCTTCAACCTTCAGTTTAGGAGAAAAGTTTAGTTTTTTCAACAAAAAAATTCCATACCAAACATTTTCTCTTTGGATACATCAAATTTCAATTTGGGGCTCCCAAGGGATCCAAATACAGGGTGTCTCAAAGTCACTATACCATTTCAAACTGTGATATTTTCTAAACTGCAACATGCAGGTCACTGTATTGATGGAAAGAGCATTCTTTAAAAATATTTTCACAACAATGACTTGGAATCAGACTCAATGTAAATAGCTTAAAATGCATATTAGAAAGTGTACTTGTTTAGGGACCTTTTTGGTACACCTTGTTGAATCCTCTTACAAAATTGCTATACTTGAAGTATTTCTCTCCTAATTTCAGATAGATTTGAGAAACAGAAAAAAACTAATTTGCTTTCACTGTCATGAGAAAAGGTTTTACAATTGACACTTGAGCAATAAAGAAAAGACCTGGATGGAGGTCTTTGAGAGTCCCATCAGAGTTCAAAGGGAGTTCCAGTGATTTTTTGGCACTGAGCCTCATGCAAAATGTATTGATATAGGCAAAGGGTATTTTGAGGCACTTTCAAAACTCAGAAATATCTCAATTTTTTATAGAGATACTTCCAAATGACATGCTGTCTTTCAGTTAGTGTTGCTTCTTTTTTGCATCAACTGTTTAGTAAATGTGATTTTCTTAAATGGTATAGTGACTTATGGGACACCCTGTATATGAGCAATATAGGCAAAAATCTGTATGAAATGCACAAGAAAAGTCATTTGGTAATGTTTAACTCTTTCATGCATGAATTTTTTAAAGCAAAACAAAAATTTTTTGGTTTAAAATTTAAGGAGGTAATCTGTCATAGTAGTCCAATGTTTCACTGCTAGAAACCAACACTGAATAGATTATGTGCCCTTGAGTTGATTGCATGCATCAAAAGTTTTGCGGTATGTGTACCATGGCTAAAAAGCCGTCATCGCAAAAAACTTTTCTGCCCACTACAGTGGACACCATGCACAAAAGGGTTAACTACCTCACTTTGAGGTAGTTAAACTAAAAATCACCAACATTCTAGAAATACTTATAAAAGCAGAATGTTACTTACACAAGAACTTTATTAATCATCCTGCATGGAGCATCCTAATGTGACTCAAACTGCTAAGAAACTACCTTAGACTTCAAGGTTGCCCTTAATGACAAAAAGATATAACTTCATGCAATAATCACATCTTATCAACAATCTATCAGTTAGTTCCTTCTTTATTAAAAAGATAGTGAAGTAATGGAGATAAAATATGTTATGCCATACCTTAGGAAGGTACTTGCTCTTCTGCTCATGAGTGCCATGTCTATTTAGTTGATTGACAGCAAGATTTGAGTGTGCACCATAACTGAGTCCAATGGCACCAGAGGCTCTAGAGATCTCCTCCATTGCAATGCAATGGTCCAAATACCCCAATCCACTACCACCATAATCATGACTAGCTGTCATCCCCAGGAGACCCATGTCTCCTAATTTCCGCCAAAACTCCTGCAACAATGTCAATATAAAGATTGCTTTTAGTAACCCAGACCCAGATAATTGAAGACATAAATGAAAGAATGAACAAAGGTAAATATCAACAAGTAAAGGCTGAGCAAACAAGAGATTTAAAGGGACTGACATTACTTCTCATATATAGTTCAATATTGCAGTATACTAAGGTATTGATGATATAGCATCAACACCTTAGGTCAGACTTGGAAGCATGGCAAAGAGAACAATAAGTGATTCTAATTTTTTTAATAATTTACAATTTACTTATAATTCAAATTTATAATTTATATGTAATGTATTTGGCCTTCAAATAATTACTCCAAATTGAGAACCACAATTTAACATATTTCCTTTTATATATAGTATTTCTTTCCTCACCTTATGAGACATATGACTATAATTCAAATGTTATCCATTTTCACCTGAAATTCAACTCAGGCTTAGGCCCCAGTACAATACTGCCCAGAAGTCTTCCAATATAGCCAACCAATAATGTCTCTCCATAGCAAAGAATGACTCACTACTCACTCTCAGAGCAGGGAAGCCATTATTCTTGTCAATCTCGTCTGCATATGGAGCAAGTTCTTTCTGGGCAAAATTGAAGATCGTCTCTCGAAGCTGGAAAACAAGAGAAACAGTAGGGAATCCATGTAGATTGGGTCAAATTGGGGATCTCATCCAATATCATTTAATAGTAGCAGAGCCAGGATTTCATCAATGGAAAGGTTGAAATGTCCTGTGACTGTAGTGTTATAAGCAGAGGTGGAAGGCAGTGGAGACTGACCTGTGGAGGAGGGGAAGGAAACTTTCTTGGCTGCAATTTAGAGTTCTTTCCTACAGGTCTCATTAGTATGATATCAACTGCATAGACAGGCATCTTTTCCAAGTATTCTACAGAACTATTAGCTTTCATGAAATACTGCAGATGAGCCAAAAATCAGATTTTTCTTTCCCTTCCATGGCTTCAACTTATTCAGCATCAATGAATGAATAATGAACTTTTGGAGATTTTCAAGAATTGCATTTCAATTTCAATTCAAGTTGGGAACACAGACCCTTCCTTCCTGGCTATGCCACTGCTGCTACTTACAGCCAACCAATCACTGTGTTAACCTGTACATGCAGAATGTTTCCAATTTTGAATAGCATGGAATCTTCCTTTCCACACCTATAAAAGGAAAATTCCAAGCTGTTAAAATATGGCAATATTAGTGTTTTTCCACTTATATGCTCTGTTTGAATATGGAACATTCAGTGAGTAAAGGTTAATAATACAATTGCATGACACAAGAATGATTTTTCCAATGTCCTGCCATGGACTTACCTTCTTCTGATCTTCAGTGATATTAGTGATCATGTCATTAATCAGATAATAACTCCCATGCCTCCTTTGGTAACTGCCTCCACTGCCCAAGGGTAAACTCCCTAGCCATGACTGAAACTGAGATCCATGGCAGAGACGCAGATTCCTGAGAGTGCACCGAGACAGGCCAAGTGGATTCATGACAAGGCACCAATTGTTCAAATAAACTGTAAAAAACTGCATGAAATGATGAAGAAGAACACACCAATGCTTATGTAGTATATAAGATTTATTGCATGGATTGATCATGCAGACTTCAGAACCCATCACTGATTGTTACCAGAACCACAACCTTTATTCAACTGAAACTTGGCTGACCCCTTTACACAATCTGCACTTTTCTTCCATGTAACTTCATACCCAAGATCACAATCCAGGGAAGAGGATTAAGTATAGCATTCTGCTTAATGTACTCTCAAATGGCAACATTCCTAAACTTAATAGAGCCACTCCAAAAAGAAAAATATGAGTGCAGGCAAATTATAGTTTTGCAATCCAACATGACAGGCATAATAATAATATGTAGTTTAAGGACTACCAATTTTAAAGAAAAATTTAAAAACAAACTTAAAGGTATTCCTCAATCAAATCTTGGGAAACAAAACTCAAAGCTCAAAACATATCTATTGCCTAATCCTAGACATTTTAAGCGCTTTCTTCACATGGTTGAGAGCTTTGGGTTAGAGTTGTGAATTCTATGAGAACCTTACTATGCCTCTTTTTGACAATCACTTCAATCAAATGGAGCAGTTGCCTTATGAAATCTCTTCAGGCCATCAAAATATTATGTTACTTTGCTTAGTTCCTTCATTTTCCCTTCAAAAATATTCTCCATGCTAACCTCCAGATATTTGAAAAATGTTTTCATACTGCTAATACATAGTGTTCTATTTGTCTTGTCGATGATTTATTGAGTCAGGTTGCTTCACAAGGACTCTGTTNTAGGACTCTGTTGTACTCCTACTATAAGTGCTATTAAAGCCATATCCCCATTAAGATGATATCAAAGTCAGCCAAGTATGAGTAATGCACACATTTCTTCAATTATAATAATTTCCTGGACTGAATCACTGTTGCTTTTTAAGGAAAAAGTAACAATTCACTGCATTCAGACAAATGGAAAATAATTCTCAGGATTCTAAATGGTAGCATGATTGTATATTGTACAGGAGCCACCTAAATAATTTTATTTGGGACAATACATACTCATATGTCTAAAAGTTTTAAAAGTGCAAAAGTACCCTAAATTTACTAGGGAATTCAATAATGTAGGCTTTTGATGATTTGAAGTTTAGTGAACATTTCTTGGATCACTAATGATGCAAGGCAAGGTTGATCTTCAGCCACACATGAGGGTCTGCATAATGCCTGTCCCTGTATATGACAAATAAGCTAGGTTCTATGCAAAGAATTCAAGAGTGTCTGGTCTACTTGCTTTCACCACTCTTTGAAATGTTTCCTCCCCAACTTCAATGGCCAACCCTAATAATCTACTACTAACCCCAGACCCTATGTGAACAAGCAAGATGAACCCATGTACTCCCTCTACCTCAAACTTCTTTGTTGCCCATGTATGTGCACAATATAAGTGACTAAGTGACCACAAAATGGAGATGTGTTTTTCCTGGATCAAGGGTTCCAGGATAGTGTCAGCCTTCTGGAGGAATCAAAATCAAGAATTTAAATAGGAGAATATCTTCCGATTGGTCAGAGGCAGCATTCAAAATAGGTGGTTAGTAATTCTAAATTGGATTATCATCCACTGTGCAAGAAAATCAGTGAGTGAATGATTTAAAAATTGCCTGCTATGGACCAAGTAATGCTGATTCTTAACATGACACATGGAGATAATGTACAATAGTTTGTTCATTTTGTGAAACCTTTCACTCTCCTTTGAAGGATAATCAACCAGTGGATGAGCTCACAAGAAAGATTTCACTGGTGCAAACATAAAAAAATTTACAAGGAAAAACAGATGAAATTGGTGACAGTGAAAAAGCACACTATACATCACATTACACCCTTAACTTCCTGAAGGAACTTGTATATTAAATTCCTATAAGTAGAAAGAATTTCTCTGAGATTGCCATATATAATAATGCAAACCCATCCCCTAAATCCCAGTGTATGCCCAATGTGAAATAAAATCCTTGGCAACTGTTCTCTGGAATACTTTGAAGAATATTATAATTGTTACCAATGGTTGGGCTCATCCATTTTACATAATAAATCACCTACATCTGGTCATAATTGATGCTGTTAAAACATACTATAAAAAAACACACACACAAAAGGATAGAAATTATATTCCAAACAGGTGTAGTTTTAAACAGTCCGTGAATAATTTTAAAATACTTTTCCTCATGCCCTCTTGGTTTCTCTCTATCTCTCTTCTTTCTTGGTTTTTTTTACTTAGATCGATATTTATTGTGGACTGTGATGCCTTGTTCATTGATCTGTGCAACATACATTTATATTGATTATGGTTCTCTAGAATTTTGAGCCTCATACATAACTTCTATTTTAAAATTGATTTGCTTATCCATGTCCTGTTCACATTGATATGGATTTTTATTTTTTCTTGGGGGGGGGGGGGGGGGGAGTTTCTGCATCCAAGGCAGCCCAAGCTACATCCAGGACTGTTCTCCTCATGCCCAATGATTATTGCTAGGTGGGCCATCCCTCCCCCAATGACCACCATCTGCCCTACAAAACCAAGAGACTTATGGCTGGTCAATGCCTGACAATCATACCATAAAGTTTGCCCTTAGTTTTGGTTAGGTCTATCAGTTATGTCATATAGGGCCAGAACTCACATTGGGAGGAAGTGATGGAAGGTTTCCTTAATCTCTAACGATTGAAATTTGGAGAATTTTCAGTCAAATGAGTAATATGGAAATTAATGAGTTTCTTGAAAGGTTTCATTACTCTTTCAACGAAAAAATTGTCAATAGCAAAGATTTAATTTAAGAATTCTTCCCTTACATCTGCAACTCCCGCCACATCCGAGAGTTTTGGCCTTTGATAAGTTTAAGGTCTACCAATGGAGTCTGCGCCTAACCTAGTCAAGTGGTTTTAACTTTAATTTACCGCAACCATCAACAAGAGTCATTCAGTGGGGCTTATCTTCCCATGTGCCACAGAATTGTCCTAGGCAATGTCAAGAGTGGTATAAAATGTAAACTGTAAGCCTATATCTTCGTATTAGGCTTAAGTCATACTCCAGCAAAACTTTTACTTTTTTCCCGTGATTGTTTCATAAAAATAAAACTCGAACAGAAATTCATTGATCCTTCTTTATCTTCGATAAGCGGGTAACACATCGTTATCCTAGAGTTTCTCGGGAACAAATTTCCTTCTGACCGACAAGCGGCAAGTGCAGACTGCGCTGCGGAGAAAGGTCTTTCCAGTGCTTTTATCGTTCAGTGTTGACGAATCAAGAGCGTCAGTCTATTCTGCTACACGTGATTAGATATTTCGACTGAAACTCCCTTGGCATGGAAGCACATTGTATATTTATATCTTTCTTCCATATTAGAAATAATGCTCCCTATATGGAGCTTCTGAGACGTGCTTTAGAATCATATAGCCTGAGACACCCAGACAGGAACGAAGGAGACGCGGCGACGTTCTGGCGCCATGGTGACCTCCTGTGGCTCCAGTCTGCTCGGATATACAGTATATTTATGTGCTGTGTTAGGCCAGCTCTCTGGCGCTTATCTCCTCCTTACTTCACTACTTGGCTCCTTCGGTTTTTCTCTATGCTTTACTACTCTCCCATGCATCAGTACTCTTCGCAACTGTGCAGTTTTGGCTTTATGAGCTGTTGTGTTCCTTTAGCAGTTGCTATTCGGTAGTAACGGCGATGTTACAGCAATATTGTAGGTAGGTGACTGGTGTCGCAAGATGATATGTTATTGTCAGGGGTTTTGCCCCGATGGAATGCCGAATTCCACTTGCCAGCCGAAGCCTTTGGCTTACTGCTTCACTGCAGTCGAAGAAGTGATTGATCCGCAAACGGGAGATTTTATTCCGGAATATTCCTATGGATGCCTTCCACCTGAAGAGACTGGTCTTATGCAGGTAAATGAGACATGCAAGATTAGTGCTGTTCGAATTAGTCATGTTTGCTGGGCGTGAATCTTCTGAATGAAATTATGGAGAGGATTGGATAATGATTGGCCTAATGCGGTTGCTTCTTTTATTTCAACAGTGTAAGGGTTACCTCGTTCCTCATGTGATTCCACAGTCCATAGCCTGTTGTCGGCCAGAAATTGATGGGGATTTTTGCAACTCAAACCTGCAGCCCATGTATACCCCAACAAAGAGAATCTCCTTTGAACCCCATTTTACTGATTCCAGGATTCTGATTCCTTTCATTGTCAGCATCCTTGTCTGTGCCATTGCTCTCATCCTCATCCTCCATTATGCCATGAACTAGTGAGTTGCTGTACAAGTACTCTGTTATCACTCTTTTTTGTTATACAGGTAGTGTGTTGCTATTCTTGTCACATTTTCCATCTCTTCTACAACCATTGTTATTTGTTTCAGTTTGAAAAGAAGAGGACTGAGAAGAGGAGACTTGTCAGTGAAACAACCATTCTTATCTGAATTTGGATTTGGAGGAAGTACAGGGACCACTGATGTTACATCTGGGAGTGGTGCAGGTCTTCCCAAACTGGTGCATCCTTTTTTCCAATCTATGAAGTATCTAATGTGTCAGAATCCACAATGCTTAATTCAAAGGTCATGAACATTCAAATGAGGACTTGGGTCTTTGTCTTGAAAGAAAAACTAGGCCTTTAAGGTAGGAGAGGGGAGATATGACTGCTTTTAGGCCTTCCTTCCTATGGCTCAACTCAAGATAATTACATTTCAAGAATACTTCAGCAGTTTTTGTTATACATGTAATATTGAAACAAGTGCATCTATTGATTCATATTATCAGTGGCATGCCCAGAATCCCAAGAAGAGGGTTGACATGAATAATTGGTAACTAACCCAGCATTTATGGCTAAATTAAGGAATCAAGAGTAAAATGTATCCCAAGAGGGTTATGACCCCATAATCTTCACCCCCACTTGGGCATACCACTGCATATAAATAACATCCATTGTTGAAATGATGAACAGGGAAGGATTTTCAATTAACCACTTTGGGCTTTCAAGGAACTGTTTCATACTTTTTTAAATAATTATTGTTTCTCACTACTCAATACAGTACAATATCAAGTAGCCTTCACAGAATTTTCCTAATCCTTGAATTTCAATCTTGAATCCACATCTCACAAACAGATTTAGCATATTTGTTAGTAAATGTTTGGCTTTCATATCAGATTCTTCCAGCAACATTGCCTTCTTGCATCAGCCCTTGATGCATTGTATTAGTTTCACTGGCATGAGCATTATGATGCATGAAGATGTGAGCCTGCTGTTGAACCATGAACTTGTATGCATGATGGAAGTAAAGTTACATTTTAGTCTTATCCCCTGTCTAAACTATTTAAATTGTGAGTAAAAATCCTGTAAAAGCAATTATTTGAAAGTGAAAAGCATAAATATGGTAGTCATTGAATTTTATGCAAAAAATTGGTGTAACTATACTTCAGAGTTCAATCTCTTCCTATTATCTCTGAGAACATCATGTTGAGCATCTTCCCATGTGTTACAGGTGCAACAAACTATTGGGTGTCAGATTACCCTGGAAAGACTTGTTGGCTCAGGTCGATTTTCAGACCGTTGGCTTGGAACATGGAGGAGTGAAAAGGTGCTCGTGAAAGTCTTCTCCACTGCTAATGAATTTGCATGGCAGAGGGAGACCCAAATCTACCAGACCTCCCTCCTTCGCCATGAGAACATACTTGGTGTGTTTACATTTACCTTGAGTTTTTTGACCACTCAGAAATAGATTTTAGACCAATGATGTTATTGATCTCTCCCTATAGGATTCATTGCCTCAGATGTGAAGTGCATTGTTGGAGCATCAGCACAAATGCTGCTAATCACAGAATATCCAGAGCAAGGAACTTTGAGAGAATTCCTCTCACAGCTGACCCATCCTCTTCAGTCAGGGGATTTGGCCCAACTTGCATATTCACTAGCACGGGGAATAACTCACCTACATGTTGAGGTGATTGGTTCTCAAGGAAAACCAGGAATTGCTCACAGGGATCTCAGCTCTGCCAATATTTATGTCAAGGCTGATGGCTCTTGCTGCATTGGAAACTTTGTCATGGCAGTCCAGTTCTCTGGGTATGTATACATTCCCCTCAATAGTAATTTTTGACTGGAATGAAAAACAGTGAACCTTTTAAATCATAAAACTGCCTACTGTGCATTTCAAAACACCCTCCATTTTGAATGATCAGGTACCCCTATTTTCTAAGGAAATTTACTTTCATGGGTTTTGTTACATCTCCTTTGTTCCCTCCTTGGATTAGCTAAAACAGAAACCCATTATCTTGTTGAGGTTGAGTGGAGCCAATTATAATCCCTGGAAGTGAAGTGGCTTGTGGGAGTAGGTTAAATTGAAGGGTTGACCTTGGAAGATGTGAACAAAAGTGGTGAAGTGCATCGAAATTTCATATAAAATACTCATTTTTCTAGGACTCAAAGCAGAGTAATAGCATATTTGCAAGCTTTTAAGTCAGTTTCTCAAGTAGGTGGCTCTTCCAGGTGAGTAAAGTAAGAGGAGTATCAGTTTTACCTTTGTAATTAGAGTTAATGAATTGAACTCCCATTTATGATCAAACTGAGTCCCTACGCTCAAGAACATTGTGCCATCAAATCTTGAAATTCTTTAAATGAAAAATTAAAGGTTTTTCTATAGATGGTATCCTAATGTTATGCTCAAATTCAGGTTTTTTTCTATTGCAGTTAAGTTCTCCTGCCCAAAATTTTCATATTCACTTACACATATATAAGATTATTCTTTCCATTGGAACTTTTTCCACTATCCATGTTTATACATGCTTACATTGTTCAGAGATGAGTGCACAAAAAATTAATCCCAAGTTCTCCTTGTACAAATTATTGTGTATACTTTACTTTTCCATTAATAGCTGGTGCTCATGCTTGCAATCCTGTTGGGATTTACACATTAGGACTGTTTTGCTTTGTCAGAACTTTTTTGATACCAGCCAGTCTGTAACAATAGGATTGATTCAACTGTGTAGTGACAGCCAGGAGTTGGATGTTCCATTGGAAATGGTGGAGAGTTATGGAGACTTCCTGTACTGGCCACCCGAAGCTCTGAAAAGTGGACTACATGATGCCAGCTTTGGAGACTACAAAGCAGCAGACATGTATGCAGTGGGATTGATCCTATGGGAACTTCTCTCAGTCTCCCAGCATAGATGGGATGGAGAGGCCACAGAGGAGAAGAAAGTCCTATATCAGCTGCCTTTTACTGAATTTCTCACTTCACAACCCTCCATTCAGGACCTCTATCAGTTGGTTTGCATCAAGGGTCAGCGACCAAGTCTCCCACCTCATGTTTATTCTTCTCCAGACAAGGTGAGCCAGTCTGAATTCTGTACTCCTTGAAAAATGACATAGCTCTTTGCATACTTACTCCTACTGCCAGAAAGAGATTTCCTTATTTATTTATTAATTATCTCCAATCACAATCTAATTACTGTATCAATACCAGAAGAGATGAGTTCCTATATGTTGCTTCATAAAGCCAAAGCTGGAATTTTAAGTCACCATAGCCTACTTTTTGCACGACCCTGGTAGATTGATAAACTACTGTGCTTACTTACCATGTGCTCATCTCATTTGATAAGTGACTGGGTCCCTACATCATGATCCCCCATGGGAAACACACGAGGAATTAATTGGTGCAAGCCCTTTTAGGAATATGTTTTCCTCACAATCCAGTTTTTATATTTTAGTCTGGGCAGTCACAAAACAAGTTGAAAGCATGGTGGGCTGCTCACTTTGCCATCAATATTTTCTTTATGCATTAGCATCATGTTTGGTGCCTGTAATACCACTGTACCTGATGACTAAGATAGAGTTCCAGAACCTGAACCAAAATAGCACAAGACTAGTACATCAATTGGCAGGAGAGAAATGTACTATTCAGAAAGAGTTAGGCATGTTGATTGAGTGTAAAGAAATCAGCCTGGGATAGGCTAGGACAAATGGGCCTGGTGAACTCCAAGCTTCCAGTTAATTGTGTTGACTGGAAATTATCCTTTACAGCATGTCATCTCTTGCTCCCCTGAAAGCTTGAACCAAAAAAATCATATGCAGACTTCAACATTCATTGATCAACATGACAGAGACAGACAAAATTCCAGGATTCCACATAGATTCTTGCTTTGGAAGAGAGTAGGCATAGTTAAAGGTATGGTCCTAGCCTTAGACAGTACTCATTGAAGTTTCAAGGGTAGGGGTAAAGAGGCATTTCTACTCATACCTACATTCCAAGTCAATGTCAAGACATTCCCTTTCCATTTTTTTATATTCAGTTATGGAATTCATGGTAGTTTTTTTTTTTTTTAGCAATTCACAAGGGCTGCTAGTGTGTAACTAATTATGGCTTACTGCATTGCTTATGTGGCTTCAAATAGAAAGCATAGTGACTTACAGTCCATCCAAGTATTGAGTGCTCAATAACACCTTGTCAGAAACATTCAATGTGAATATCTTTCACTATCTAACATCTTTCCACTCATATGGAAATTCAAGTATTTTTTAAATCAAATTCCTTGAACACAGGGAACTCTGATCAATTCTCAAGCAATCAATTAAGTCAACGAACATGTTCATTATAGGTAGAAAGCTATCACTACCAATGAGCTTTTCATGTTGAGTTGTTTGCTAGGATGAATATGATGGGGTCTCACACCAACTTAGCTTTCAGTTTTACTCTTACTTGCACTTGAAGCCACATCAACAATGAAATAAACCTTAATCTATTGGGGGGGGGGAGTGTGACACTTTGGGATTGCCACAAACTAACTACACCCTGTACATCTGCACCTACATACATCTGCATTCCATTCATTCATCCAAGATAATCTGACTCATTTGACCTATCCCATTGCCCTAGTACAAGGGAGAATTTCAGGCCCCTGCAACCAGGACTAAGAAACCAAACCTATTCTGATTTTGTATCAATTAGAACATTGGCATCTAGAATTGATTAATTGTTTGATTTTGTCAGGTGGTGTTGACAGTGGTACAGGGGATGGTGGAATGCTGGAGAAGCCATCCAGGATCTCGTCTGACTGCTTTAAGACTGAAAAAGACACTTCAGCGTGCTTGCACTACATTCACTTCTCATCCATCTTGATACTGTTCTCATCCCTGATCATGTTATGCACAGAGCTCTCCAACCAAGATGTGGCATTTTCGTTTGTGGAAGAATCTGATGGTCATTTTATACTTTGTACAAAACTGACATGAAAACAAGAAGATGGTGCCAAAAATAAAATAAAATGATGGGAATCGTTTTTGTGCCATTCATGTCTGTCATTGGGAAGACTTAAGAGGAGTCATTAGATGAACGGAGTGTCAGATAGGGTATTTGGAATGCGGGAAGAGGAGCGTGATGGACCCGATCGCCATCTCACTTCTTTTTGTACACGTGACTCTCGGTTCCTCCTCGGCCGTAACCTGCAAGATGCAGAATTGCAATGGCATTATAGCAGAAGCAGAAGGGAAAGAATGATTTGAGTATACCTCCAGGCCCGAAGAGGGCTCCATAGCAAGGAGTGGTGCAGTAGGGTTTCCCTTCATGTTCCGAATGCTGACCCGGGGTCAAGGTTTTGTTGCATTTCTCACATTTCAGGCAAAACCCATGCCAGTCCTTGCCAAGCGACGTCTTCCTCTCCGCTGCCATCAATGCGACAATTGTATTCCATTCAGCTTTTGTCATATAAAATAGCAACGCCTTAAACCAAAGCCGCGGTAAAGGAAAACGAGAGGATATTATCTAATCTGAGGATTGCCTAATGCCTGGGCCACAGCATGACGTCATCCGTCGAGAGTCATTCCTCTTCTGTTGACACTTGCCGTGCCCTACTCTCCTGGCCCACCACAAAAGGAAATCTTTACTTCTACCACCTGTTCCCACTTTCGTTCATCTGAGCATGCAAGAGACAAGTTTCTTCTTCCCCCGAAAATAAATGTCACTTCTAGTGAAACGATGAGGTGTATGACATAACCATGTCATGATCTAAAACAGGGGTGTCAAACTCAAATCGGTCGGCGGGCCGCATTCCTTATCCTGCAGATGCCTGCGGGCCAATTAAAATCTTAAACTTAGTTAAAGCAAATCGCTCAACCTCGGCCATGCATTTGAATGGGGCAAATACCAGCTAAGCAACTTGCTAAGAGGAAAATCGCACTTAAGAACGCAATAGAATACGGCCCTAGGCGAATAAGCATACCTTATACTTCCACAAATAAGAAAATATGGAATTCTATTCTTGGAGGCTTTGATTCGTGAGCGACCATATCCTGCCAGGTAAGGAGAGAACACGTGGGCTCACCGAAGTAGACAGGTTTTCCGCATTTGGGACACTCGGGCATTTTCGACGAAACCTCTGAAAGACGAAATATGAGACCGATGTAAAGTCCTCTGCAAGACTGAGGGAAAGAGAGCCGATGGGGGGGTTTGCCAGCTCGGCCCGAGGCGGGAAGTGTGCGCAATATCTGGGAAGAGGTCTCCGCGGTCTCATCTTTTTACCGACCTGCCCTCGCTGACGATTCCTGCGGAACGAGTCGATCGGACCCGAAACATCCTCTCACTATTATTTCCCTCCCATCGATCGGGAACCGGGGAAAGCCCGCGAAGGCTTGTGCCCCATTTCGCTCCGGCGCAATTCCTCGGCCCTTCGTCTTCCATGATTTCCCTCCAGTGTCTCGTCTTGCCTCTCACCGTTGACACCCGTGTGTCCTGAATGACGCAACTTCTCGGTTGGGGCTTTCTCCTGGATCTCTGCCGTGGCTGCTATTGGAATTTAACGTGACATCCGAAAATGGATGAAAAACTGGATAAACGGAAAAGCCGAATAGATGTAGAAGTCGTACCGGTAATGCGTAATACGGTACAGGGCAGTTACAGAGTGATTGGGGCAAAAGTGGTCTAAAAATATCATTCCAAAAATTCCCTCCAACTTAATTTGTCTGCAATGTATGGATATTAAACCTGGACCAAGTAAGGGATCGACTAAAGAAGCAGGACCTAACATGAGATGGTTTTCCATTTCTCCTGAAGTACACTTTTGATCAATTTAACACCTGCTTCCTGAACTTCGTTTTAGACGATTTTGTTACTTTGGTAAGATTGGAAGACTCTCCTACCCACTTCATTTTTTATCAACAATAAGTGTCATTCGGCGCAAAGAAAGGTCTATGCCTTTTTTTTGAAAATATGGAAGCCCCAGATCTAGTCAAATTATACAGAATTATACACTTAGAAAAGAGTGGGCGAATTCCGAGAAAGGGAAAGAAACTGGAGTTAGCGATTTTACTTCCTAAAAACAAGGAAGTGCAGCTGCTCACCTCTCTCTTTCCTGGGCACTAACCTTTCCTACCAGTTTGAAAAGTACTCTCCCTTCTTCGTTTTGCGTTCTTAAAAAAGTAATGGATTCTGCTCATATAAAGGAGTAGTTATCGATTGTACTTCCTTGTTTTTAGGGAGTAAAATCGCTAACTCCAGTTTCGCTCCCTTTCTCGGAAATCGCTCTCTTTTTTAAGAGTGTAAGGGAAGCAGCAGAACGAGCACTGTTGTCTAAGCTATGTTATGTCAGTAACATAGCTTAGGCAACAGTGTTAATAACACGAAATGAATGGCCTTACTTTTCTTCATCCATGGGAGAAATGAGACATTTTTGACTGGAATAGGCGCAAGTATCTGTTCTATAAGGAAATGTTGAAGAGGAATTTCTGTACCAAACCATGTTCAAGGTATAGCATCATACTCGTTTTCATATTGAGTCTGAGGATGCCATTCTTGAGTTGCGTCAATAAACTCACACCATTGATTGGAAGTCAAATTCGACATTCTTGCTAAGACAGGAGGAAGCACAGTACAAGCTGAATAAGAAAAAGAAAACTACTTGAATAGAGAAGAATCCAGTCCCAGGAATTCCAGTCCATTCTCCCATAACAACTTCTCCTATAGCAAATAAAAACGAAAACAAATGAAGTCAGTCGTAAAACACATGAAAAGTTAAAAAAAAAAAAAAAAAAGCTAGCGCGTGGAAGTAGAGTCCATTACCTTGAGTGGTGGAGCCCAGTCCATGGATTGGATGAGTCGACCCGGTTCCAGTTCCCCGAGAGGGAAAGGATAGTCAGTGCCCAATATCACCCGATCCTCTCCGATCACTCGAACGAGGAATTGCAAGGCGAGCGGATCGTGGACGAGAGAATCCGTGAAGAACCGACCGACGAAATCCTTCGGAGGCTTCTGGCAACGGGTGGCGCAGAGATCCGGTCGGACGTCGTAGCCGTGCTGGATCCTGCCCAGAGTCCACGGGAAACTCCCCCCGCCGTGGGCGAAGCAGAACTTCAAGCGAGGGAAACGCTCCAACACGTTCCCCATGAGGAGACACGAGATCGCGGCTGCCGTCTCCATCGGCATCCCTGTCGCACACGAGGATCCTCCGTGTCATTCGCTGACGCTTTACCGTTTGTTCCCTCATTCGGGAGACACTGCCGGACCGAGCCGAACGACCGGGCAGATCTCCCGCCGTAACGACGAGGAGGAAGCCAATAAATGAGGTAACACAAAACGTGGGTCCATGGCGCTCTTCGAAGGGAATACAATTCCCGATTTATTATCGAGCTTTGAAAGCTCCTTTGAAGCATCACTGCCTATTGAAAACATACTAGGAATAAAAATTCTCAAAAACATTTTGGACTGTATGTGTTGAAGGTGTCGGCAGTTGACTTGAATGCATTTCTCAACACGATACTGCCTGTCACCGCTGCGAACGTTTCCGGGATGATGAAGTCCGAGACTAGGATCGTGTCACCTTTCAACCTTTAAATGGTGCTGGAACCTGGTTCACGAATATTAAAATCATTCAGGTCACCCCTAAGGTAATATCCATAAAATTAGGCAGCGTGAGTTCGAGGGGGAGGAGGTGCGGGAAATCTCCACGAGTGTGCTCTCAAGGGTGCTCCATGTCTATGTCTAATTTTTATCGAGCCACTCTGTACCGGACAGACGGTATGCATGCCAGGCGTGGGCTGGATATCAAATCCACAACCTGTGTCAAAACCGGCGGCAGGGCACGACAAGGTAAATGAGCATAAAATACGGATTTCCCAAGCCGTGTGCAACCTGGTTTCAGAGAGGCATATCGGTGATGCGAAGCTCCTCTCCTTCGGTAACATTGGAAAGCATTTAGTGTCTGCTCGTTAACTCTTTCTCGTCTGCTTCTTTTTTTTTTACAGCCTGGCACCTGTCAGGCGGGGTTTTCCAACCAAAACGTGGTTTTTCGGTTTGTTTTGCCTGTAACAAGATATATGGAGTTTCTTGGTGAGATGCGCTCGGCAGAATGCTAGGCACTAGAGGCAAAATACTTGGAATCTCTCTCGAAAAGATTCGTACCCATTCGTCATATTCATATTTCGCACCATTCCTACGACGAAACGGAAGGACGGAATACGAAACATCATTCGATGCGTACGGATTATTTTAAAAGACATACCGGCTATTTTGTCGCTAATGCACAGCAGTCTGCAGCTGGTGCGAAAGTCGATGAGTAACACTAATAACTAAAGGAGTGAAAGGGAAAGTGATCCGTCTGCAAAAAAAAAATTCTTTTATCCAGCTCCATACGAAAAGAGGGAATATTCTGACGACCGTCTTCTTGGAAGTGAGTGCACATGATGCGCGTTGAAGGCCAGTTTCCCCCTTAGGTATCTTCCCAAAATTACCATCTTTAACGAAAGGGAAGAGGATATCATGCGCAATAAATCGACTATACTTTTCTCAGACTTTTTTGCAGATAGACCATTTTACCTTTCGGCCTTCATTGCATTTGTAAAAACGGAAATCACAGAATGTTCTGTCACGGTACAGGCGTGATTTCTGCGGACAGAGCCATCAATGGGCTCTCCCTTGGACCCTTCGATGGGCCCTCCCTTGGACCCTTCGATGGGCCCTCCCTTGGACCCTTCGATGGGCCCTCCCTCGACGAATGCAAAGGGCGTAGGCGCCTAACAGTTGAAGGACGCTAGTGGAGAGCCCACTGAGACCCTTTTCCCTCTTTCCTCCCTTTTCCTCCTCCTGCAAGCACGCTTCACCAAGAGGTATTTACCGCGAGTCACGTTCACATCGGTCATTCTCCCAGGAGCAGTGCTAAATTAAAGAACTTTAAGTCCTGGAGCCCACTGCACGTATTCCGAACACGATTACGAAAAGTCCGGGGGGCAGCTCCACTTAATTTTTTTTTTTGTGCGTGCGATAATTGCCGAATATCTCGATTTTCGAGCACGTGCAAAAGCACCGTCAGCTTATTATCAAACCGGTGGCGTACGCAGGATTTCCGGAAGGGGGGCCCATTGCTATGGCAGCTGGAGCCGGAAAGGCAGGGTGAAAATGAGAGGACACGGGGGGAGCGAAAAGAGCCGGGGGAACGGGGGGTAAGACTAAAATGTAACTTTACTTCCATCATGCATACAAGTTCATGGTTCAACAGCAGGCTCACATCTTCATGCATCATAATGCTCATGCCAGTGAAACTAATACAATGCATCAAGGAGGGGGGGGGGAGGGGAAGGGGGCCTCGAGCGACCTACATTAGCCAATGTTGTCGAACAATTTGAAACCTGGAACCATGACACGTAAATTGAATAAGATGGTCGACATCGAGGGACTGAAGCTGAGTTCTGGTATCGTTTCACTAAGCTCCTGGTTGCTCCCGCTCGGATTAAGCACTACCCAGGAACGAGCGACCATCGGCTGGGTCTACTACCGGTGGGAACGATAGAAATTGTCATTTCGGGGCAAGCTGCTCGTCGGTACTGTCAGTGGCGGCTAGTGCACCAGCCGCCACCGACAGAACAGGAACTGGCTCCCCGAGATTCTTCATACATGCATGAAAAATCCGTACGAAAAATCTAGGGGAGCCAGTTCGTGATATCGTGACTACCCACAGTGCGTCACCGACAGTCGTTTCTGTCGGCATAAAATCCCTGGAATCCTCGCACGAAATCGAGTAGTTGTGCTTGGAGCCGGACGGCATCGGACACCGTTCTCTCTCGCGGCTCCGAGCCATTCTCCTTAAGAGGGGGAAACGACGGGAAGTCGTTCGCGGACGGTTCGACGACTCACCCTCGGCAGGCGGACCGGCAGTTCGTCGACGAGCGTCGTCGGCCCAAAAGCTCGACGACTCGTCGACGGCCCGAGGGCTCGACGGTTCGCCCGAACTTCCGGCCGCGAGGTAGCGCAGTTCGCTCTCGGACGACTCGCTCGCTGTGTTTACCGACGGTTCGCAAGCCCCAGTCGCTCGGCGACTCGTTAGTGATCCGTCGTTTCTCCAGGGTTTTCTTTTCGTTGCGCATTTTTAACCTCACGACTTGAAGCCCTCGACCGGTGATTCCGACGGGACCCGAGAAACCGTTCGCTGTAGGGAAACCAAACAAGACGACGACTCGACTCGTCGACATCCCTCCACGACGACTTGGCCCTCCCTCGACACCCCTCCACGACGACCTGGCGCTGTCCGAAGGCTCTCCCTCATCCATAACTGAACGGTTCAAACCCTGATATTAACCGAGACTCGAGACGAACTCCAGTTTTCCCGAAACGAAGCACGTGTGTTCGTTCCCTCGATCGATCGATCCGAGAGTCTCCCCTCGAGCCAATATTCTGTCAAGATCGAGCGGAAATCGGCTTTTACCCAAATTCGATCATTGAGGAATCTGGAGATTTGAGCGGTGAGAGGAATCGGAGAATTCCTCACGCAATAAAAGTTCATCGAGGGACTTCATCGCGTGCGTTCGAGGACGCGAAGTAAAGCTAGAAAGAAACCCAAATCCTTGAAATACGCAACAGTATTCACGACGAAAGGAAATTCATCTCGAGTCGATGGGAGCTTGAAGCAGAAAAAGTTCCGTTCGGGCAAGTCTCGTTTCTTCGGTGGCTGCGATGTCGTGCGATGGGACGCGGCAAAAAGAAAGGCCGATCGCGAAAAACTGCTCCATATCGGCAGTTCGATGGAAATCGTGCAAAAAAAATTGGATCGTTATCGAGGGACGAGAAGCGCATTCCATCCGAGGAGAAAAGTATCCGTGGGAAGACTTTCACCCGTTTCGAGTTCCACGACCTCGCGGAAGCAGAATCGCATCCGGCCCACTTGACGAACGTCGCGAACGCGTGGAACATTCGTGACTTTTCCATTCTCGCCACTTGCGAGGATATCGACCGGCAGTGCGAATTCGGATCCCCGAGAAGCTCTCTACAGGACGCAAAGGAACCCAGAGACGTGCTACAGGTGTCCGGGCGGTGCGAGCTCGTGCGCATGGCGCGACACGAGAGGCCAGCCCCCTCGCCTCTTCGCCTCGCCTCTTCGCCTCGCCGCTTCGCCTCGCCTCTTCGCCTCGCCTCTTCGCCTCCGCACCGGGTCGAGCAAAGGAATGCGGCGCTATACTAAAGTTTCTGGAGTGCTCGTCAAACAGCAGATAACAAAAAAAGCTATTTTCTCTTAATTACTTCTATACATCCTTTTAAATGCCAACATTTTCGTCTCTTCGTATCTCCTTGCATTTTACCTCACGAGCTGTTTTCAAAAAGCAGAAGCACATCGTTCCACGTTTGACACCGCGACGCCGACCCGAAGACCCGAAGACGAGCGCCGACTAACGAACGACGTTTCGAAGGTTAATTCTTTCCCTCCGAACTCGAGAATCCACCGAAATGGTATCTGACTCGTCCCTATGCTCCGACAGTTTGGAGCCGGTTAAACGGAAGGAGATAACAAATTTTATCACGCGACTATATCGTAATGCCTAAATACATAAAAAAGATGGTTTTATTTGCGTCGAGGATATCGTCGCACTATCTACTATCACACGAGCGCCAAACGACTCGAAAGCACGACGCGTTATTTATGCCTCATCCGGGATACGCTACAGCGTTGCGTGTGCAAAAGGATAAGTAAACGAATGCCTCGTCTACGGGATGGCAAAGGCTTCTCGACTCTCGCCTGCCGAGCAGGAATCTACCCCCAGAGATCGACCTTCGCACCTTTTGCATCCATTCGCAATTAAACCGATGGTTCTGACAGATTTCCAACGGAAATTCCGAGTACTTCATGATAATTTCAGAGTCGCATTGGGAAATGCGTCCCACAAATACATTTTTGCCTGGCTTCCCTTGCTTCTCATGCTTCCCTTGCTTCCCTTGCCTCCCTTGCTTCCCTTGCCTCCCTTGCTTCCCTTGCCTCCCTTGCTTCCCTTGCCTCCCCCGACGTAGCTGCCATTGGCTCGTGGTCATTCTTCACGTCCATAAACGAGTGGTTAGAGTCCTCCCTGATATTTTATTATTCCTTGCTATGGTGAAAGATAGTATCAGCAGTCGAAGACCCTTCCATAGAAGCGTGATTCGCATCTCCGCGTCTCGCTTTTTCCGAATGCATTTTCGCTCGACGA